CTGTGGAAGGAGGGGTCTTCTCGGTTGTCTGCGTAGAAGGCGAGGCGCTCTCAGCGCGGCGCGGAGCTTGTTCTGCTCGAATCCATGTCCTGCTGTTCGGACAGGAGTGTGGCGCATAGCGCGGCTTCTGAGATGATTTCTTGCTGTCGGAGTAGCGCTTTACAGGGCTTCCACTCTGGCCCGAGTCCTTGAAGGACTATGTTGACGAAAATTTCTTCCGAGATTGTACTCCCATGCTTCGTAAACTGGTCACGGATGTTACGATAGTAGTTAATATACGGATTCCCTTTCTCCCGGTGCCCCATCTTTATCTCCAAAAGTTGCTGCAGAAGTCTGCTGGCGGTGACCGAATCCTTCGGCTGGTAAACTTCAACGAGGTGCTTCCAAGCTTCCAAGGCTGGAGCGTCGCTCTCTTTGTAGGAGCGAATGTTGAGTTGTTCCGCATGCGTAATGTTATATAGCAACACACTGTAGGCCATGAGGGACTCGCTGTAGTACCGAGCCCTGGCGACTTCGGTGTTTTCCACCGGTTTAGGGTAGGAGCTGTCGAAGTAATGGTAGATTTGCGCCGTTTGTAGGAGGAGCTCAAGCTCGAAACTCCATGTGTAGAAGTCCTTGCCGTTAAACGCGGCAGTAGTTTTGATTTTTGAAACGCTAAGGAAGCGTGTTTGCGCAGAGTTGATAGCTTCATCACTTGGATGGGGGGCAGTTGTTGTTGATTTGTCTGTGTCGAGGAGAAGGTATGCGCGGCGGTATCACGACTTTTCTCAGCTGGTTGTCCAGGTTGTACTGGTTGGGAAGAGGTTCCCGCATCGCCTTTGCGCATGTCTTGGAGTTCTTTCTCGATAGTTGAAAGTCGAGCGAAAAGTTGCTCGAGAGCGGCAGCGCCGATCGTGGTTGTCGCCTCATTTGTCGCAGCCAGGTTGGTTTGTCCTTCAGCCGTCGGATTTGCTTGGCCTCCGGATCCTCCGGCCATCTTGGACTTGGAGCGTGTGCTGCTCGCGAGATCTAAGTTCGGCGAATTTCACGGAAGTGAAGTTGTGAATAATCCCTGAGTAGCTCTCATACCATGTTACAATCCCAAGTGGGACTTATCGAAGGTGTGAAGTTTAGAAAGAAAAAGTTTAGAATGAAGAAAGGAGGGGGGGCTCACTAGAAAGCAGCAAGTTACATATAAGAAACCCTAGGGGGTTGTACTCGCTATAGAGTACCCCACTGCAGGCTAGAGAACAATAACATTCTGACACACCCCCATAGCCAAAGTGGGGTGTAATTAGCAGAGCAAGCAAAGCAGAACAAGCTCAGGGTGGATCACAATGTCACCACACATTCTGAGCACAAGTACAAGAAGCAACAGTTCAAAGTTCACAAATGTAAGCAAAGCTAGAGGCTATCGCAGAGGGCAAGTGAGGAGGAGGAGGCGAGACTGTAAGAGGAGAGGAGATAGGAGGCGACGACTGAAGCTGCAAACACATGGGCAACAGGAGTCACACTGGCACGGCGGCTACCGGAACAGCGCTCCGGACTACTGGAGTAACTGGCTCCGCAGCTAAAACTAGCGGCAGACGAGCAACGGACCCACGGGCGACTGGCACAGCTGCTGCGACTGGGCTACCGGAGCAGCGCCCCGGACTACTGGTGCTGCTGACGACACGACGGTAGCCTCCTCTCAACCTCCCCAAACAGTCCCACCCCCCTTGACACACACCCCCTGCTTCACCCCTAGCTCCACTCCCCCTTCACCCCCTTAGCACCACTCCTTCAGCTCCCCACACACACACCCCCCTGAGCGGCAGCTGCAGCAGCGGGAGACGGAGGAGGAGGAGGAGTAGGGGACGGCGCACACAACGGGCACCCCCACAACCGCCACCCCCACACTCCTCACACCAAACCCTAAGACGGGTTGCAAGGGGTAGGAGCGCGGGGGACGGTGGGGGGGAAGGCGCGCGGCCCCCAGGGCGCCACCACGGGGCAGCAGGGGGCCGCGCGCGGTTCCCCAGGGCGGCGCGTCGAGGCAGCGGGGGGTCGCGCGCGACTCCCCAGGGCGCCGCGACGGACTGGCGGGGGCAGCGCACGGCTCCCCAGGGTGCCGCGACGGACGGGCGGGGGCCGCGCGCATCTCCCCAGGGCGCCGCGACGGACGGGCGGGGGCAGTGCACGGCTCCCCAGGGTGTCGCAACGGACGGGCGGGGGTAGTGCGTGGCTCGCTAGGGGGCGCCAGGAAGAAGAAAGGGCCGCGTGCCCCCCGTGCGCGCGCTACACAAGAAAACCGCTGCGCGCATCAGGCGCGCGACAGGAAGAGAGGGTAGCGCGCTCGGGGCGCATGGCAGCAGTAGAGCAGCGGAAGCTTTAGGTGGTGGGCCCACCCACAGGATCGACCCAAGGGGATCGACCTGCTCTGATAGCATGTGAAGTTTAGAAAGAAAAAGCTTATAATGAAGAAAGGAGGGGGGGTTCACTAGAAAGCAGCAAGATACATATAGGAAACCCTAAGGGGTTGTACTCGTTATAGAGTACCCCACTGCAGGCTAGAGAACAATAACATTCTGATAGAAGGATCGCTCAGGGTTGATTGCAGAGTAGTGTTTGCAGCGGAAGTTTGAATCTCAGGTCAGAGTGAATGTAAATGACTGAGTTGATAAAATATGCATACATCGGGTTTATATAAGAATACAGGGGAATACGAAAAGACCTAGGTGTGAAAGTTTAGAAGAAAGAAGAGGAGTTGCACTAGCAAGAATGAGGATACAAATAGCAAACCTTAGAAGGGTTGTACTCACTATAGAGCACCCCACTATAGGCTAGAGCATAAGATAACATTCTGACACACCCCCATAGCCAAAGTGGGGTGTAATCAGAAGAGCAAGCAAAGCAGTACAAGCTCAGGGTGGATCACAATGTCACCACACATTCTGAGCACAAGTTCAAGAAGCAATATTTTAAAATTCACAATTATGAGCAAAGCTAGAGGCTATCGCAGAGGGCATGTGTGGAGGAGGAGGGACTATGGGGGAGAGAAGATGGGAGGCGACTGCTGACGCTGCAGACACACAGACGAGCTGCTGGCTCAGTGGCTACCGGAACAGCGCTCCGGACTACTGGAGTAACTGGCCCTGCGGCTAATAGTAGGGGCAGATGAGCAACGGACCCACGGGCGACTGGCGACTACCGGAGATTGTAGCCTCCGGACTGCTGCTGCTGCTGACGACAAGACTGCTGCCTCCACTCAACCTCCCCCAGCTGCCCAACGCCCCTCTCACACTCCCGCTGCTACACCCCCTAGCTCCACTCCCCCTTCACCCCCCCTTAGTACCACTCCACCGGCTCCAACAAGTCCACCCCCCCTCAGCGGCAGCTGTAACACAAGTTTGTGGGATCAGGGCGGACGCCGAAACGGGTATGTACCCCCAGGGTGTTTATAGGGTGAGAGATTATCGCGAATAGGGTGTATATTCCAGGGGGGCAACTTCAAGTCAGGTATTGTAACGAATCCAGACACGGTCAGCAGGATTCAGTGGAAACGGAAAACGCTCACATCACAACCACTGGTGCAAGCAAGCGGACTCGCATCACATTCGAGGAAAATCGGACCATCGGAAATTTCAGGGACACACGACACGAGCAGCCACTGGTGCAAGCGGACTCAGGTCCATTTCGAGGATGTTTTACGTACGAACCGGGGGTTACAGACTGCCGGATAGTTCACGGGTTGAGTTATTTAGACCTCCGTCAACGACCTCGCTTCATACACAAGATGCTCAACCCCTGCGCGTGAAATTGCCCTGCCCAAAAAAGAAAGTCTGCCCCCGTGTTTTTTTCCCCGGGCAGTTGCACCTTGTTTATAAGCGCACGAGCCACTTGTATGTGGGTGGCCAGAAGACAAAAATTACACATGTGCTTAATGACAAGAGACGTCGCCCCTGGGTATTCCTGTTTTGAGGCCAGAGACAGACTTCGCGAAAAATGTGGCGGGTTGAGTTTTGACGTCGCGCACAATTTCGCCCATGACTGTACGCCACGTCGATGCGGCTCATCGTGCACCTGCTCGTACCCAATTCGCCCTAGCACCGCCACGTGTACATTGCCGAGGTTGGATAGAAGCCGAACAGTGTCCACAAAGTGCAATTATGCACACGTCACCCGCTGTGGTTACTGATACATGTGCGAGTAACAAACACGATTCCGGTAATATTCACTCCGCTAAAAAGTGTTACATGCCCAAATGTGGCAACATTCACTCGACTGAATGTTGCCCCATCCCCCTACGGCGCCGCGAAGAAACACACTCGACATTGAGTTAGCCGAGCACTGGCACATGGGCATAAATTGGCACGCAAATTAGGCCAACACACAGACTTACTCACCAGTTTAGCCACCAACATGCCTCGCCTGTTTCGCCGCTCTCAGGTTCCCGTGCACATTAAGAGGGCAATCTGTGCCCATCATGTTAGTAACCCCCGCATGTGCCAAGTCGGCCTGGCGCGCTGGTGCTTTACCCGTTTCGGCGTCCGCCCTGATCGCTCGACCATTGGTCGCGTGCTCAAAGGAGCCGACCATTGGAGCGCCGTCTCCAACGACGACAACCCCGTCCGCGTGCGTGGTGGCGCATATCCGCAGCTTGAGCAGGCTATGGTGCGCTGGATTCGCAACACCGGGCCCGCGGGTGTGCCGCTCACCTTGATTACTATCCGCGACCACGTTGCGACCATGGCACGCGGAATGGACCTACCTCCTACCTTCCGCTGCTCTGTGGGGTGGGTTCGCCGTGCCTTGCGCCACAACGGCATTCGGTGCCGCAGCTGACAAAATTAGAAAGAAAGAAGAGGGTTGAACTAGCAGAAATGGGGATACAAATAGCAAACCCTAGAAGGGTTGTACTCGCTATAGAGCACCCCACTACAGGCTATAGATAACATTCTGACAGCAGCGCAGTTGGGGAGGCCGCCGACCAGGACCACGCCGCGGTCCGTACCTGCCAGGAGCAGCTCCCGCAGCTCCTAATGTATCTCTCCCTCCGTCCGCGCGACGTCTACAATTTCGACGAGACGGCTCTGTTTCTTTCGGTCTTGCCGCGCAAGACGTATGGGGGGTCGCGCGTGCCGGGGCGTAAGCTGGCGAAGGAGCGCCTCACGGTCGGGTTGCTCGTTAACGCGGACGCCAGTCACGCGTTCCGGCCTTTGATCATCTCCAAGTCCAAGCGCCCTCGCGACTTTCTGCCCGACTACGACCCGGAGGAATTGTGCTACTGGCGTAACAACAAGAAGGGCTGGATGAATGCGGCGGTAAGCAAACAAGGATACGATCACCTACCGGACTGGTTGATGCGTTTGTTCTATGCTTGCGGTGAGCTCGTCCCTTGTGAACCATGTTACAACTTGTCATCGATGCTCACAACTGTTTTCCGGTGTCTTTCCCATCATGCGCAGTTGTTCACCCACTTCATCGGCCAACTCAACGCCGCCATGGTCGCCGAGGACCGCCAGATCGCCATCCTCTTGGACAACGCAAGCAGCCACGTGCTGAAGGACGACGATGCCACATCGGAAGACCTTTTCGGCTTCCGCACTCGCATCGTGGGCAACATCCGGCTTGTCTTCCTGCCGCCCAACACTACCGCCTTCACGCAGCCGTTCGATCAGGGTCTAATCGCAACGACGAAGGCACGCTACCGTCAGCACTGGCTTCGCGCGGTCACGACCTTGTGGCAGGATGATGGCGCCTTTCCCGTGATGGCGCGTTACCGCCCCAACATGCGCGATGTCATCGCATGGCTCTCGGAGTCATGGATGAACATCCCCGTGCGTACGATTCAGAGGTGCTGGTGGCGCACGGGGTGCATGCCACGCTCGTGGGCCATGGACCTGACGCATGTTGGCCTGGACGGTCTCGCCACGGCCGGCAACGGCGTCAATGCCGCTCTCCCCATTGACCTCGACGAGGACATTGGGGATATCGGCATCATGATCGCCCGTCTTGGCCTCGGGTCTAGCGCCATGCCGGCCGCCGCCTTCGTCGCCATCGACGACGACCACCCCACGTGCGCCGAGCCGGGCGAGGACCCGCTCGCCCTTGAGCCGCCGACGGGGTATTCGGGCGCGTCATGGGAGGCTCCATCCAATATGCAGGCCGTCTACGATGACGACAACCCAGAGAGCCACGAGGCGCGGCGTTACGCACGTGCGGCGAGCGAGATGCTCATCGGTTACGCACGTGCCACCGGCATCACGCCGCGCAACCTTTGCGCACTGTTCGAGATTAAGAACCCGGTCATCGTCGACCGCATGGAGCGGGCTAGCCCCCCAATGAACCTGAACACTGCGCCGATGCCCGCTCCCCTGCATGCCGCGTTCCCCGCGTCCACTCCCACGAAGGCTCATGCCACGATCGAAGACGCGGCCACCGCTCGCCGCCGCGGGCGCGTTTTGCCTGCGTGGATGTATGCACCTGCTCCCACCCGCCAGCAGCTTATTGACTCTGGCGTGAGTGCCGTCATGAACGGCTATGTGGATGCGGCTGAGTGGATGACCCTGTGAAGGGTGAACCAAATTTTCGCTTCGAGGAATTGGAATCTCCTCTGTGCACAAATGTGAACTGTGTCTAGCCCCGTTACACACTTCATTTGCGCAGATGTGAGTCTGGTATTGGCCGAACTGTGGTGGTTGCATGTTCGTGCCTGTTTGTGTGTAATTTTGTAATCGGGAGCTACGAAAATGGGAAAATGTGGTGATAACGCTGGCAACACACAACAAACAACCACAGCCACCTAGCAATGATTTTCTTTAACTTATCTGAGAAGTTACACGTTCTAGTTAAACGCCCACCATGCCCGTGGCGACATGCACGAAATCACGTGAATTGTCAGAAACACTTACAAACCCTCTTGGTAAAGCAAGTATGGGGGACTCAAACGCGCAACAGGTGTACACGATTTCCGATTATGAGAACGAACAGAGTTCCTGAACCGTTGGAGAACACGCCGTGGATTTTGTAACCGTTTTTCCGCTTATCTCAGAGATGCGAGGTGTGGTGTGGAGGTGACCACACCTGTAATATCTTTCATGCCACCAGTAATCTGCGGGATCCATGCGGCCGATAACCACAGATGCCAACGTGTACAGACTGGAAACTGTAGGGTACACCTTCCATTTGTCATTCCGTGCAGGCGGACAACGTGCGGATCATTTTCATCCTACAGGCTGGTAACTGTAGGGTACACCTTCCATTTGTCATTCCGTGCAGGCGGACAACGTACAAAAAACCAAACATGGGGACAGAAAAGTCGAAAACCAAACGTGAGGGGGAGCTATATTCTTTCTGTTCCGGTAAGATCCTTGGTAATCCATCAGCTGTCTCATAGATCCACAACCCGAAATTAATTACTCGGCAGGAGAAAACTCTAGATTTTATCAACTCGAGATGCCTTGCTCCAAGACACCCTCGATTTCCCTACATAACACAGTGTATCACCGGCGTTATAACAGTCTCAGCGACGAAAAACTTCACCGCATTCCCAGGTACCAGCATGGGTCTCCACTCACACATCGTCGTGCAAGAGCACGAGCTCTACGGTTTCCAATGCCGCGGGCTGTTCGCGCACAGCTTTATCGCTCATGGCGAGGTCGTTTGCGATTGGGACGAAGGAGAGATTCGCGGGTACCACGCATCTGACTTATCAGCGGAACCCGATAAGGAGAAGCGCGAGACAATGATTCGTTATGCGTACATGGTCGGTGACGACTTGTACGACACGACAGCCGACCCCGAGGATGACCCGAGCTTTTATTACAACCACTCGTGCGACCCTAACACGTGGTACGCTAACCCACGTTGCATGGTCGCCCTGCGCGACATTCAGCCGGGCGAGCACGTCACGTACGACTACGCCTGCACGGAGACGGAGGGTAGCATGCACGCCGGCCTGCGCTGCCGCTGTGGCGCCGCGTGCTGCCGCGGAACGCTTAACTTCACCGAGTGGCGCTCGCACGACTGGCAGCGACGGTTCGCCGGGCACTGCTCGGCTTATATCGAACAGAAGATGGCCGAGTCGGGGTGGTACGACCCGCGCGTGGTGACTCGTTACAAGGTTCGCGGCGCGGACGCCTTCAAGGGGCTGTTCGCATTGGCGAGCATCCGACGTGGCGAACCGCTTCTCGTCTTCGCCGGCAAGCTTGTCGGCCTCGACTACCTGCTGGGAAGCGACGAACGCGTTCGGGAGCTCTCGCTGCGAGTCAACGATCACCTCTGGCAGGTGCCGGATCCGACGCGTGGGCCCGAGACGCCCGATTTCATCAACCACTCGTGCGATCCAAACTGCGGATTGGAAGACTCGGTGACGGTGGTGGCCTTGCGGAACATCGCGCCAGGCGAAGAGTTGAGCATCGACTACGGGAGCACCAACGCAGGCGTCGTCCGCACCAGCAGCGACAACTTCAGTTGCCACTGCGGCGCGTCGATCTGCCGCGGGGTAGTCACGTGCGACGATTGGCGGCTGCCCGAGCTGCGGCAACGACTATGGCCGTTCTTCCCGCCGTTCATCAAGCGGCTGATCGTGAGAAAGTCGGAGAAGTCGGACTTGAAGCGGTCTGAGAGCGATGAGTCGTGCGAGTCGATCGAAGGTGATGAACTGGCCTTCACCACGAAGATGAAGGTTCTGGGCTCAGCTGCTTGGGTGTGAAATCCAGCACAAAATCTCCACGCGGCTTTCTGTAAAAATACTCGTGGAGCAGGGGAGGATGTTGTATGAGGATTTTGAGTGGCCTGCACCGCCTGAAAAGCATTGCATTCGAACGAAATCATGTTGGTTCCTATGTCCGCTGGCATTCTAGTGACTAACCAGATCATAGGGTATGTATGCAACATACAATACCCCTAGTGACATGTCTAGAAATTGATTGATTAGTAACGGAGATGGGGAGGACAGATTAAAAATTCACCCCAATTTTGTAAGGTATGCAAGTTTGATGCTGTACTCAGAGATGGGGAGAACAGAGATGTGGGGTATTGGGTGTCGGTAGGTGGGTAGTCCGGAGGGATGACAGTGGGGGGTGTAGTGAAAGAGATCCCCAAGCCTACTTTCCCCCACTGACTGCTAAGCTGAACAACACTGGGGGTAAATACATAGTCTCGGGTTTGGGGTCCAAGCCTTAGGCCAGTTTCCCTGTGAGGTGGCAGTTCACTTTCGGGAAATAGAAGCCTCTGGCGCAAATAAAGCTTACGTAAATTGATTGTTCTGCCCGTTACCATTTGCGTTTACATTTTCTCAGAGGTATTTTCTGCTAGCATACTAGAGAAAGCACTGGATTTGTTTTTTCTCAAATCCTCGGGTGCTCCAAACTCAATGAGTTGCCCAAGTTCCAAGACAAGAACCTGAAAAGAGGGGATTGATTGTGGATAGACCAGAATATATAAGTTTTTTAGCAGGTAAGACGTGTGCACCAAGGGAGGACACGCGTAAGGTAGGCGTGGGGTGTGCGTGCGTAGGGTGTTGGCATGAAGGGTGTGCGCACATGCACTCACAGACGTTGGCATGAAGGGTGTGCACGCATGCACTCACATACGTTGGCATTAAGGGTGTGCGCACATGCACTCACAGACGTTGGCATTAAGGGTGTGCGCACATGCACTCACAGACGTTGGCATGAAGGGTGTGCGCGCATGCACTCACAGACGTTGGCATTAAGGGTGTGCGCACATGCACTCACAGACGTTGGCATTAAGGGTGTGCGCACATGCACTCACAGACGTTGGCATTAAGGGTGTGCGCACATGCACTCACAGACGTTGGCATTAAGGGTGTGCGCACATGCACTCACAGACGTTGGCATTAAGGGTGTGCGCACATGCACTCACAGACGTTGGCATGAAGGGTGTGCGCGCATGCACTCACAGACGTTGGCATTAAGGGTGTGCGTACATGCACTCACAGACGTTGGCATTAAGGGTGTGCGCACATGCACTCACAGACGTTGGCATTAAGGGTGTGCGCACATGCACTCACAGACGTTGGCATGAAGGGTGTGCGCGCATGCACTCACAGACGTTGGCATTAAGGGTGTGCGCACATGCACTCACAGACGTTGGCATTAAGGGTGTGCGCACATGCACTCACAGACGTTGGCATGAAGGGTGTGCGCACATGCACTCACAGACGTTGGCATGAAGGGTGTGCGCGCATGCACTCACAGACGTTGGCATGAAGGGTGTGCGCGCACACATCACATGGACGTGAGCAGGAGGCACACACAACGCTCTTCTGACTTGCCTGGTCGTAATCAAGAACGGTCGAGAGGCGGTGTGCGATGGTGATGACGGTGCTATCCTTAAATGACTCCTGTAGAAGGGCTTTAATTACTGCATCGCTCTCCCCATCCATGCTCGCTGTCGCTTCATCCATCAGCAACACGCGTGTCGATGCAAGCAAAGCTCTGCATAGAAATCAAATACCATCAGAAAGCAAGAGAGAGAGAAAAAAACCGAATAAAGACTGTAACCAATAATAAGGGCGCGTCAGATCCGTTACAAGGTGATTTGGCCGGAATTTTGTCGACTATATCTTTCGCCAAAGTCGACAACATGGTCGACTTCAATAACGACCAATATCCGGCCACATTTACAGGGCCGAAAAATCTGACACATTTGGTGGCCGATTTGATGGCCGCTTTGCAAATGTGTCAGATTTGCAGTTCGCCAGGATCGCCGGATTGTGCGACGGAATCGCAGATGCAGTACTTGTGTGACACGTTGCGTCGCACGAGTTGGCGACGTCGCGTAGTGACTGTAGCGATCTCAGGTCGACAAATTGGTCGACTTTCGAGTCGACTGCTCGTCGGAACTTTGTCGAATGCTGAACCGGCCATCAATTTTTTTACAAATGGCCGGATTTGGCGAACTCTTCGAAAATCTTTGCGGATGTCGCGAATGTGTTACCTTCGCTAATTCCGGCCGGCCGGATTTTTCCGACAACGGATCTGACGCACCCTAACAGTATCACCGTGTAGGATTCTGAGACAGAGATAAGACCTGCACTGTGATTGACCCCAAAATCATTCCCTTGGCGGTACTGTGCGAGGCAGAGAAGCTGCTTCTGCCCCAGGGAGAGGTTCCCCCGCCCTGAGCCAGGGCACCATCCAGCCCGCCCAGCAGCCCCAACACCAGCGGCTTTAGGCGCACCTTTGAGGCCCCTCAAAAGTATCCTCTTAGGCGTACCTTGCAAGGCAGAGCAGTTGCCTCTGCCCCAGGGACAGGTTCCCACCGCCCTGAGCCAGGGCACCATCCAGCCCGCCCAGCAGCCCCGCCACCAGCGGCTTTAGGCGCACTGTTGCCAGCACCGACCACAGGGCCTCGTCACTGTGCTGCCTGTGAATGGGGGAATGGGCGGTGGTGAGGTGGGGTGTGGGAGGGTGAATGGACTTTTGAGTTGACTAAACAGTTAGTCACCAGCAGCTTCAGGAGCACCGTTGCCAGCACCAACCACAGGGCCTCATCACTGTGCTGCCTGTGATGGGGCATGGGGGGTGGTGAGGTGGGGTATGGAAGGGTGCAAGTGATTTCTGAGTTGACTGAAAAGCGGCCACCAGCGGCTTTACGCGCACCATTGCCAGTACTGCCCTGCTCACAGGGACTCGTCATTGTGCAGGCTGTGATAGGGGAACGAGAGGGATAATGCACAGGATGGGAGGGAATGGGGGGTGCGAAACGGGGTTTGGGAGGGTGACTGTGCACAAGAGGAGAGGCTTAACGCGTGAGGGAGAGTGACACATGTGAGGTGCGGCGAGAAGATGAACAGCTGGAAAAAAGGCCACAAACAGGGCACGAAGTTTCAATAGCATCCCATCCCTGGTTCGTGATCAGAAAGAGGAGTCATACCCCATTGGGTCAAGGTTGAATCGCAGTGACTGGCTGAAAAGAACGGGCTCTTGAGGAATGGCCACCACCTGCAACAGGGGAGACCGATAAAAACCAGGACAAGGAATCGAGAAAGGGAATATGTTCTTATAACTTCCTAGAAGGCTACCAGTAGATGGGGAAAAAAGCTACGTGGCAGGATCAGGTGTTTGAGTCAACTCAAGAATGTTACTTTGTTGCTTTCCTTATTCCGCAGGGTTGCGAGTACATTTTGAGCCGAGTCAAGAAAGTTACTTTGCTGCTTAACTTTCCTTGCTTCGCAGGGGTAGCGATGGGCAGCGATGCAATGTTAACATCATCGATACAGATGCTGCCTGAAGACGCTTCCACCAACCGCAGCAGATGGAGGAAATGCCACTTGTCATTGCTTACCTTCCTACAATGCTTACCTTACTGCGCAGGGCAGTGAGGGGCAGCGATGCAATGTCCACATCATCAATGTGAATGCTCCCTGAAGACGCTTCCACCAACCGCAGCAGATGGAGGAAATGCTACTTGTCATGTCACTGCTTACCTTACTGACACGTGAAATGAGGGTATTTCTGAGACGTCTCAAAAACACCCTCATATCACGTGTAGGAAATGCTACTTGTCATTGCTTACCTTCCTACAATGCTTACCTTACTGCTCAGGGTAGTGAGGGGCAGCGATGCAATGTCCACATCATCAATGTGAATGCTCCCTGAAGACGCTTCCACCAACCGCAGCAGATGGAGGAAATGCTACTTGTCATGTCACTGCTTACCTTACTGCTGATAATAATGGAGCTCAACTGATTTATTAGGAAAGAAGGCACTAGGCCTTAAGTACAAACGAGGTTGGGATGGGCAAGGCTAGGGAAAGGATGGGATGGGAATCCTAGCAAATCTCCAATTGGTGAGTTGGCAGATTTGCAGGATTACGAGGGAATCCCAGCCAGATAGGGTTGGGATCACAAACTACACCCAACCCGCAAATAACCTACGCGATATAGAATATAGTACACAAAGTGTTGACAACCTAATTCTAACACACCCCCTAGGCTGCAACACATCAGCCACAAGGAGGCCCAACACCCATGGCCGAGAGGAGGCGGTAATGATCCTTGCGAACAAGCGACTTGGTAAACAAGTCAGCAAGGTTGCAGTCGGAGGCAATGTGTTCAGCCTTCAGCTGCTCGTGCTGCACCAGCTCACGAAGAAAGTAGTGACGGACTTCAATGTGCTTGGTGCGGCCATGGAAAACGAGCAGGTCCCGTGCTGACATGATTAACTTTCAGGGGTTCGACGAATCGTTCGGTGCGTTCGGTTAGGTAGGAGAAGGCTGTTCCGTGCCACGCGCCGCAAAAAAGGAGGAACAGGGACGAATCTGCTGCTAGTGCGGCTAGTTCTGCCAATAGTAGGTAGTAAGGCTGACAGTTGTGAGCGCATGAGAAAGGAATTTCGAGCGAAGTCCATCTAAAAAGCTCGAGTGGATGTGGAGAGTTGAGCCAACTACTAAGTGTTTCCGGCAGCACTTTGCTGATAGAATGCACATTGCAGACTTGCAAGTGCTAGCGTAGGAGTCTATGTGTCAACAGAAAAGTCTCAGAAGTGAAAATTACGAATCTCTGTGGATCGAGTGTCAAGCGCCATTTGCACAACTGCTCCAAAAGCTGCAGCCAGTTTTGGATCAGATGAGTCAGGAGGAACGACCTTTTTCCTAAATGTGAGATGAATGGTGCTCTTGTTGTCAAACCAAAGCGTTGGGGTTGGTTGGGGATACCCCAGTTCTGTCAGCAGGAAGGAGAGCCAACGAGCCTCCTGTGCAGCCATGGTCCCGGCATACAGCTCTGCCTCACAGGTCGACAGTGAGACGGAGGACGACCGAGTGGAGCGCCAACTTACAACCCCACTGCCAAGGGTAAAGCAATACCCTTGGGACGAGCGCCGATCACTCTGGTCATCAGCATAGGATGAGTCACTGTACCCCTCAAGGCGAACAGGGGAAGTGCCGCCAAGTGTGAGCACATAATCCTGTGTGCCTATGAGATAGCGAAGAACCCGCTTGGCGGCAGACCAGTGGTGGCGAGTGAAGCGACCAGGTGCAACGTAGCGGGACAGTACACTGACTGGATAGGCTAAGTCTGGTCGAGTGCACATCATCGCGTACATAAGGGATCCCACGAGCTCGGGGTAAGGCTCGTCATAGGGCTCAGGTGAGGGAACAGAGGGTGCAGTGAGTTGGTGTTGCAGAGAGAGTGGGGTGGGCGTTGATGCTGCTTCCTGCATCTGGAACCTCATCATAATGTTGTTGATGTAAAAATTCTGCGAAAGGGTGATGGTGCGGGCTGTGCGATCACGTGTGATTTCCATTCCCAAATAGTTCGTCAGCTTCCCAAGGTCCTTCATGGCCAGCTTCTCACCAAGTGCGGTTTTGACTGCGGCCAGCAGAGTCTGATCCTTGGTGACAAGGATCATGTCATCGACATAAACCAGGATGAAGAACCGGGAGGGTGTTGCTCGGATGAAGAGGCTGGGGTCAGAGGTGGATGGGTGAAAGTCGAGGGACCCTAAGGTGCTCATTAGCTTGTTGTGCCATTCTCGGGGAGCTTGCTTAAGGCCATACACTGGCCGATTCAGATTCCATACAGTGTCTGGTGGAAAAGGAGCTGGAAATCCTCGGGCCGCTCCATATAGATTTCCTCTCGAAGGATCCCTTGCAGGAACGCAGAAGACACATCCATGCAGTCAACCTCCATGTCATCTCGAGCAGCGACATTGAGAAGGGTGCGCAGTGTGGGAGGTTTGGCGGTGGGAGAGAATGTCTCAAAGAAGTCCAGTCTACGCTTTTGGTTAAATCCCTTGGCACAGTACCGGGCTTTGAAGACAAGAAATTCGCCTAAAAGTTGTTTCACCCGAAAGACCCATTTTCCCTTCACAATGTTGACGCCGGAGGGAGGAGAGACGTCTGTGAAAGTTCCTGTGTGAATGAAGGCCTCACATTCTGCGACAATGACCCCCAACCACTGAGCGGCGTGAGGACCAGAGACTGCTTCAGCATAGGTGAGAGGTGTGGGGATGGAGGGGTTGTCGGAGAAATTGAGGGTTGGAGAGTCTGCGATGTCTGGAAAGAGGAAGCAGAGTGCGTGGATGGCTGAGTCGATATCAATCAACTCCTCATGTCTGTCTTCAAGGAGGGATGGCATGAGAGAATAATCACCCCCGACAAGAGGAGGATTGAGAGAGACGCGAACGGAAAGGGAGAACGGTTGTGGAGGTGTGCGAGAGCGGGTGCAAGAAGCGATGGGTGAGGGAGGCGGGGCCGAAGTAGGCGTAGCGGGAGGGGAGGTGGGAGTGGGAGGGAGAGTGGAGACAGAATCGGGATCAGGGGTGGGAGCAGCAGGAGGAGCTAGGTGACGGCGTTGGTAGGTTTTGAGAGGAACGGGCTCGGTAGGAGGAGATGCGAGAGGAGATGGAGGAGGGGTAGCGGAGGAGGGAGGGAGCGAGGGAGACTGTGTGGTACTGGAGGGGGAAGCGGGTGATGGGGGATCAGAAATGGTGGAGGGAGTGGGAAGAGGAGGAGATGGAGTGTCGGGAAGAGGGAGACTGTCAAAGTCAGCCCAAGTAAGAGAGGGAGGCGGAGGAGAGGGGGAAGTCTTGGAGGAGGGGTGAAATGGGTGGGACTCATCAAAGTAAACGTCCCGGCTGCGATAGAGCTTGTTGGTGGAAGGATGGAGGAAGAGATAGTCTGGCGAATCTAAGTTGTGCCAGAGGTATACGCACGTGATCGTTTTGGGAGCAAGTTTGCCGCCAGCCGCACGACGGGCTTGGGAGTTGAGGAGGACATAGGAAGTGCACCCCCATACACGAAGAGGGGGAACGGATGGCTTTTGACCTGTCGATAGCTCAGCGGGGGTGGTGTGGGTGTGATGAGGATGGGGATGGAGATTGTGGAGGGCAGCAGCATGAAACATGGCGTACCCCCAGAGAGAGGGAGGGGCGAAGGCGTGCGTGAGGAGGCAGCGAACAATCTGCACCAATGTACGGTTCCGGCTTTCGGCAATACCGTTCTGTTGGGGACTGTCCGGGAGAGTGAAGGTCTTACGGATACCCTCAGTGGAGCAGAAAGCTTTGAGAGTGTTGTTGCGAAATTCACCGCCACCGTCAGAGTGAAGGACCTTGATGGTGGTTTTGAAGTGTTTGTGAGCCTGCTTTGCCGATGACCCCTTTTCTGCTGCGCCGATGACCTGTTTCGCTGCGCCGCTGACCTGTGCTGCTGCCCCGCTGAACCTGCTCTGCTGCGCCGCTGAACCTGCTCTGCTGCGCTTCTGAACCTGCTCTGCTGCGCCGCTGAACCTGCTCTGCTGCGCTTCTGAACCTGCTCTGCTGCGCCGCTGAACCTGCTCTGCTGCGCCGCTGAACCTGCTCTGCTGCGCCGCTGACCTGCTCTGCTGCGCCGCTGACCTGCTCTGCTGCGCCGCTGAACCTGCTGGAAGTTTCGAATGTGAGAAAATTGCCACGAAAATTTGAAATTTCAGAGCGTACGATGAAGGAAATTGACGGAGAATTGTGCCGCCGTTGAAATCGGAAATGCACGTAGACGGAGCGGGAAAGCGCTTTTGACCAGTGCGACGATGTGAAGACGAAAAACGCTAAGCGAAGAAGGCGTGAACCGAGAACGCCATAGCCGAGAGGAAGAGAATGATCGCGATGCCAAGGATCGGATTCCGCGTGAGCGGAATTTGCTAGCTCGATACCATAATAATAATGGAGCTCAACTGATTTATTAGGAAAGAAGGCACTAGGCCTTAAGTACAAATGAGGTTGGGATGGGCAAGGCTAGGGAAAGGATGGGATGGGAATCCTAGCAAATCTCCAATTGGTGAGTTGGCAGATTTGCAGGATTACGAGGGAATCCCAACCAGATAGGGTTGGGATCTTAGTTGGAGTATACGCGTTTCGCGTTTTATACGCTAGCGTATAAACGCAGTACGCAGCTTTGGAGTGGTCTAATACGCAGTGAAAACGCAGGGCCGGGCAGGGGTAAAAAAAGTTTCGGGCAGGTGAATTTTTTTGGGTTAAGATGTGGGGAAGGGGGTGGTGCAAGGCACCATCATACCCCAGCAGCGCGGTACATACCGCCCGTGAACTTGTGGCGACAGTACATGCACACCTTGGTGGCGTGGTCGCTGTCGTCGCCGGCTTTCACAAGGAAATGCTTGTACACAGCATGGGTTTCGTGCATGATAACCAGATCGGCGCTGGTTTCCTCAACAGAACTAGCATTAGGAGCTGCAGTAGGGGTAGTAGTACTGAGTGTTGCTGCAGGAGGGGTCGCCATACTGAAAGGCGAGCTAAAGAAGAGAGCTAAACTGAGTAATGAAAGTCGAGTGGAAAGACACGACATTTATGGTAGGAATGGTGGGTGGGTTGAGGGGGACTCACCTCAACAGTGTATTTGAAGAGGTTGGAAGTGAACGGGGTACAAGGGGGTTTGCAATGGTAAAGGTTGGGATTGGTGCGACTCGGTTTCAAATTTCGAATTCGGGGTTGCACTCGGGACGTGCGAAACCCCACACTTGAATCGCCATGTTGCTAAACGAAACTCAAATTTTGATTTTTTTTTCCCGGTCTGCCCGAGCGTTTTTCAGCGTTTCCGAACCAAAAACGCAGCGGTCGTTTTTTTAGCGCGTATAAACGCAATACGCAAAATGTTAAGAGCGTATACTCCAACTAAGCTTGGGATCACAAACTACACCCAACCCGCAAATAACCTACGCGATATAGAATATAGTACACAAAGTGTTGACAACCTAATTCTAACAACTGCCACGTGAAATGAGGGTATTTCTGAGATGTCTCAAAAACACCCTCATATCACGTGTAGGAAATGCCACTTGTCATTGCTTACCTTCCTACAATGCTTACCTTACTGCGAAGGGTAGTGAGGGGCAGCGATGCAATGTCCACATCATCAATGTGTATGCTCCCTGAAGACGCTTCCACCAACCGCAGCAGATGGAGAAAATGCTACTTGTCATGTCACTACTTACCTTGCTTCTCAGGGTGGCGAGTGGCAGCGATGCAATGTCCACCTCATCGATGCAGATGCTGCCTGAAGAGGCTTCCACCAACCGCAGCAGCGTGAGCATGAGGGTGGACTTGCCGGCGCCTGATAGGTTGAGACATGGCAGACACATAGACCACACACAACAGCCAGCCAGCACAGTCTCTCAAGTCTTATTACAGAAGTAGTTGGGCATGAATTACTGAAGCCCGGAAAGCCCTCATATCAAGTACACTGGAACTTCCTCCTTCAACCAGCCCAATTATGGTACGTTGGACTGCAGTGCAGAGGCAGCCAGCCCCACATTGCCTCACCTGTTCGCCTCACCACACCGCACTGCCTCACCTGTTCGCCTCACCACACCGCACTGCCTCACCTGTTCGCCTCACCACACCGCACTGCCTCACCTGTTCGCCTCACCACACCGCACTGCCTCACCTGTTCGCCTCACCACACCGCACTGCCTCACCTGTTCGCCTCACCACACCGCACTGCCTCACCTGTTCGCCTCACCACACCGCACTGCCTCACCTGTTCGCCTCACCACACCGCACTGCCTCACCTGTTCGCCTCACCACACCGCACTGCCTCACCTGTTCGCCTCACCACACCGCACTGCCTCACCTGTTCGCCTCACCACACCGTAGGCATGAGCAACGGGCGAACATCAAACGTGTTTGCCCGAACGTCCCCGAACGTTTTTCTTAACCGAACCGAACATGTTTGGTTCGGCCGAACATTTTTTTCAAGATTCCAATGTTCGGTGTTTGGTTTAGTAAGGCAAACGTCTTTATGTTTGCCGAACATCTTCATGTTCGGTCAAGTTCGAACATGTTTGATGTTCGAAATTGGGGACTTGGCAGAATTGGGGACCACTGTTTTTGTGACTTAGCAGATTTCACCACCCTTGTTGTCGTGCAATTCAGTACAACACCTGCCCAAGCATCTACCATATGACAGGGGTGCAGAACACGGGGAAACCCTGGGAAACCCTGTTTTTTTAGGACTGGAGTCGTTTTCCGTTAATCCTGGGAAACCCTAACTTACTCTGGAAAACGACTAAGTAACGACTATTTAACCAGAGTTAACATCAGGAACCGTTAAGTTGGGCTGGATTGGGCATCAAATGCGCCTACTAATCCTTCCTACTCATAACTTAACCTAAAAAAGTAGATCGAGGTCGAAATGACCTCGATCTGACCTTTCCGTAGGAAATACATCCAACCCTATCGACATTTGTCGAGCTGGTTAATTCCGAACATCTTATGTTCGGAAATGTGGGGCAAATTTCCGAACATGTTTGATGTTCGGGAATTTGCCTCATAGGAATTCCGAACACCGAACATGTTCGGGACGAACCCCGAACATGTTCGGTCGAACATTTTTCTAAAAAAAATGGGGCCAAACATGTTCGAAACGAACATGTTCGACCCGAACATGTTTGACGTTTGGAAAATTGCTCATGCCTACCACACCGCACTGCCTCACCTGTTCGCCTCACCACACCGCACTGCCTCACCTGTTCGCCTCACCACACCGCACTGCCTCACCTGTTCGCCTCACCACACCGCACTGCCTCACCTGTTCGCCTCACCACACCGCACTGCCTCACCTGTTCGCCTCACCACACCGCACTGCCTCACCTGTTCGCCCCACCACACCGCACTGCCTCACCTGTTCGCCCCACCACACCGCACTGTCTCACCTGTTCGCCCCACCACACCGCACTTCTCTCCCCCTGCGAGCCGAAAGCTCAATCCGCGCAGCACTGCCAGCCCCGTGCTGCCATACCGCACTGTCAGCTGCTCCACTCGCACTGCCCCTGCTGACGGCCACGAGGGGCGAAGGGTGATTCCACTGTACCCCTCCTCCTTGCTGTTTGGTGTTGCATCGGAGGCTTGGCAGTGGGTGGAGGGCGGATTGTGAGAGAATAGTGGCTTAAATGGCAGGCGCCTGATTGCTGTTTGCAGTGCTCCGAGCAGCAAGCTGGGTATGGAGGATTTGGTGGTGGGGTCTTCCTGCTGCTGCTGCTGCCACTTGTGCTGCTGCTGCTTGAGTTTACTTTTAGCAGGTGAGGGCTCTTCCCCTGGCAGCGTGGTGTACTCGAGTGTGCGCTCAACACTGGTGAACTGCCATGGATGGGGTGTCAGAGGGGCAGGGAGAAAACAATGCAGGATGTTGAAATTAGATGTGTGTCGTCAAGATGCATTGCACAAGGCGCTGAGACAGCAGATGGGTGCTTCCCTTTCAGCAGGCTGTGCAAATGGAGCGACTATGATTTCCTGGTTCCCACCAATCCATGGTGCTGCTTCGTTCATCCATTTTCTCTATTCCCTCACACCCATGAACACCACAACCATCGCAGCCCAGCCCCCTCCCCCCTCACCATGTTCTCGAGCTCCATGCCATGTCCCCTCACCTCACCATGAACATCACAACCATCACACCCCTGACCGTCCCTCCCCTCGCCCCACTGTGTTCTCCAGCTCCACGCCTTAATGCAGCGCCCACGCCTTTCCTTCCTTCCCTCACTTTCCCCGCACCCATGGCCATCACAGCTTTCGCACCCCTGTCTGTCTGTCCTTCCCCATTCAACCCTCCAACCAACCTCCCCTCACCATGTTCTCCAGCTCCACGCCGTAGTGCAGCGCCCAGCGCAGTGAGACCGTCGCCCTTCCCTTCCCTCAACATGTCCCCTCAACATGTCCCCTCAACATGTCCCCTCAACATGTCCCCTCAACATGTCCCCTCAACATGTCCCCTCAACATGTCCCCTCAACATGTCCCCTCAACATGTCCCCTCAACATGTCCCCTCAACATGTCCCCTCAACATGTCCCCTCAACATGTCCCCTCAACATGTCCTCTCTCACCCACCAACATCACAACCATCACAACTCTGTTATATTGGAGTGACTTTTGAGAATTTTCTAAAGTCTCTCCCCGCATTCCTCCTCTCACCGTGTTCTCCAGCTCCACGCCGTATTGCAGCGCCCACCGCAGCGAGTCCGGCAGCTGCAGCAGATACGACAAAGCCAGCGCGGCCATGGCGGGCGGCAGCGAGTGGCGCAGCGCCACGGCGGCGAGGGCGGCGGAGAGCAGGGCGGCGGCAACAAGGAGGTCCAATCGGAAGCCCAACCACTCCCACGTGGCGATCCAGAATAGGTGCGGGCTGGCGTTGGCGGTGACGTGGCGAAGGAAGAGGCGGTGGAAGCGGCGCTGCTGGGAGAAGGCCCGGATGGTCGGCAGGCCCTGGGGGTGGGGGGGGGAGGGAGGGGGAGCGGGAGGGGAGTAGATACTTCTTAAGGTGAGCTTGAGAACTGCATGTACCAATGGATGCGCGCCTGGTGTCTGTGTGTGTGTGTGGGGAGGGGGGGGAGGGTGTGTGTGTGTGTGTGCGTGTGTGTGTGTGTGTGTGTGTGTGTGTGTGTGTGCATGCATTCATGTGTGGGGGAGGGAGCCGCAAACTTGTGATTCTCACCTCCATGGTGGCGAGGAAGCGGGTGTGCAGCACGGAGCGAGTGGTGCACTCCATGCGTTGGACCTCCATGGCAGCGCACACATACAGCCGGCGCAGGTGCAGTGCAGCAGCAGCAGCAGCACTGCTTTGAGTCGATGCAGAACACAGCTCACCTCCATGGTGGCGAGGAAGCGGGCGAGCAGCACGGAGCGTGTTGTGCATTCCATACGTCGGACCTCCATGGCCGTGCACACGTACAGATGCCGCAGGTGCAGCAGCAGCAGCAGCAGCGGCAGCATGGGGATGAGTGTCCACGGCACAGCTATGCATGCCGATACCACCGCGGCAAAGCACAGGCCGAAGGGCTGCAGGCAAGTGGAGGACAGGAAGGATAGTACGGGTTTAGCGGGAGTGGGATGATGGAGAATGGAGATGGGAGAGTGGGTGACTGGGAGTATGGTGGGAGGGAGTAACTTTGTGTATTCACGTGGTATCCAGCTGACATGAAACCCCGAACTCGTTTTGAACCCTCCTCAATCTTCCCTCCCTCCATCACGCTCCCCCACCCCTCTCTCGACCCTTCAACTCCCATTGAGGAAGTCCAGCAGTAGCTGCGGAAGCGCATTGTCAGTCACCCCGAGGTCCTCACTGAAGCGATTCAGCACGCGGCCCGTGGGGTTGGGTTGCAATGAAATAACGCGAGCGGGGTGACTATTGAGTCAACTCACTTTGAGGAGACCCAGCAGCAGTTGCAGCAGCACGTCGTCTGTCACTCCCTCCCCTCCCCTCCCCCTACACCCCCACCCACACCCTTCAACTCACATTCAGAAAATCCAGCAGCAGCTGGGGCAGCACGTCATCAGTCACCCCGAGGTCCTCACTGAACCGGTTCAGCACGCGGCCCGTGGGGTTGCGGTGGAAGAAGGCGAGCGGCGACTTGAGTACAGACACCAGCATGAGTGAGTGCATGCGGGAGGAGGCTCTCAGCGTGGCAAAGTGAAGGAGCAGAGAGGCGAGGAGGGAGAGGACCACGCAAGACAGGGCGATGGCTGTGAGGGTGGCGAGCGGGTGGGGTGTGGTCTCGGGGGCCTCTGTCCACAAGCCGAGGAACCTTGGATTGGGGGAGGGGAAGGGAGGCGAGAGATTAGAGGAGGGAGAGGAGACCACGCAAGACAGGGCCAGGGCGGTGAGGGTGGCGAGTGGGTGGGGTGTGGTTTGTGGGAGGAGAGGGGCGGGGAGGGGAGGGAAGGGGAGGGGAGGGGAGGGGAGGAGGGGAGGGGAGGGGAGGGGAGGGGAGGGGAGGGGAGAGGTGAGAGGGCCACACAGGAGAGGGCGATGACTGTCAGTGTGACAAGTGGGTTGGGTGTGGTGTGGTACCAGCCTCCTCCGTTCTCAGGCCCCCCGGAGCCGTTGAGAGAGGCTGGTTTCGAACCGCTGCAAGCCTGCTAAGAATTTGAATCGATTTATATTACTGATTCTACGTTGCTGAAAAACGAGGGAAGTTGTAATCAAAAGTCTTCTAGTCAGAGAGCCACAAATGAATGTAGTCAGTGAGTGAGTAACGGCCCGGATGCGCGTGTGGACGCGTTTTTGAAGAAGTGTTTTGAGACGTCTCAAAACACTTCTTCAAACACGCGTGTGGACGCGTTTGCCTTTCCTCACCAGCTGACGAGAGCGTTGGAGACGTGTGCGGCGAGGAAGAGGGCGGCAAAGAGCAGCAGAGGCAGCACGCGTATCTTTCTGGCGTAGCCCCAAAACACCGACAGGGGGATGGCACCGCGCTGCCACCCTTCCACGTCCAGCAGGCCTGCAGGCACACACAGAGCGGTTTGGGGATAGCGCGAAAGGGGATAGCGTGAAATGGGATAGGGGGACGCACACCCAGTGATTGAAGCACACACACAGACAGGTTGATGGCACCGCGCTGCACCCTTCTACGTCCAGCAGGCCTGCAGGCACGCACAGAGCGGTTTGGGGATAGCGCGGAAGGGGATAGCGTGAAATGGGATAGGGGGACGCATACCCAGTGATTGAAGCACACACACAGACAGGTTGATGGCACCGCGCTGCACCCTTCTACGTCCAGCAGGCCTGCAGGCACGCACAGAGCGGTTTGGGGATAGCGCGGAAGGGGATAGCGTGAAATGGGATAGGGGGACGCATACCCAGTGATTGAAGCACACACACAGACAGGTTGATGGCACCGCGCTGCACCCTTCTACGTCCAGCAGGCCTGCAGGCACGCACAGAGCGGTTTGGGGATAGCGCGGAAGGGGGTAGCGTGAAATGGGATAGGGGGACGCATACCCAGTGATTGAAGCACACACACAGACAGGTTGATGGCACCGCGCTGCACCCTTCTACGTCCAGCAGTCCTGCAGGCACGCACAGAGCGGTTTGGGGATAGCGCGGAAGGGGATAGCGTGAAATGGGATAGGGGGACGCATACCCAGTGATTGAAGCACACACACAGACAGGTTGATGGCACCGCGCTGCACCCTTCTACGTCCAGCAGGCCTGCAGGCACGCACAGAGCGGTTTGGGGATAGCGCGGAAGGGGATAGCGTGAAATGGGATAGGGGGACGCATACCCAGTGATTGAAGCACACACACAGACAGGTTGATGGCACCGCGCTGCACCCTTCTACGTCCAGCAGGCCTGCAGGCACGCAGAGCGACGTGGGGGATAGCGTGGGATGAGACAGCGGCGGGAAACACAGCCGCTTCCAAGGGATGGAAGCACACGCACCGACAGGGGGATGGCGCCCCGCTGCCACCCCTCCACGTCCAGCAGGCCTGCAAACACACACAGTGATTGTGTGGTGGGGGGTGGAAAGTGAATAAAGGGCGGGGAGGGAGCGGACACAGTGGTCGTCCAGCAGGCCTCCAGTGCAAGCGCATGGAGTGACTGGGGATAGCGTGGGATGGGATAGGGGGGAACACACCCAGAGATGGAAGCACACGCACGGACAGGGGGATGGCACAGCACCCCGCTGCCACCCCTCCACGTCCAGCAGACATGTAAACACACTCAGCGATTACGTGGGACGGGATAAAGAAAGGGCGGGGAGGGGGTGGAAAGAGTGGTCATCCACCAGGCCTGCCTTCTGAGAGTTCTCAAAAGTCACTCGAATATGGCCTGCATGGTTTTTGAGAATTCTCTGGTTTTTGAGAATTCTCAAAAGTCACTCGAATATGGCCTGCATGGTTTTTGAGAATTCTCTGGTTTTTGAGAATTCTCAAAAGTCACTCGAATATGGCCTGCAGGCACACACCCTGGAGTTAGCGTGTGGGGGGGGGACAGCGGGGAGCACACCCAGGAATCGATGGAAACACACTCAGCGATTGCGTGGGACGGGCAGTTGGAGGGATTGGGATAAATGAATCTCATTTTTGAGTCGACTCAGAATTAGACTCATCAAAGCGGGAGCACACCCAGGGATGGGAGCACACGCGATTGTGTGGGACGGCCAGTTGGAGGGTTTGGGATACATGAATGAAGTCACGGTTGCCTGCCTACCTTGCTCGTCGCCTTCTGAGGAGCCACTCGCCTCCTCCTCCTCCTCCTCCTCCTGCACTCTCCGGAAGAGGGAGTAACTCCTTGCTGCAAATGGTCCTTTTCCTGACTTGTGCAACGAGCCCTTGGCACCCTGGCGCCCATGTGGGACGCTCTTCCCTTCACTGCATGCATCTTCCAGCCCCTTCACCCCCTCTGCTGTCTCCCCTTCTCTGCTGTCTCCGCCACTTCCTCTCAACGACGAGTCTCTTTGAATCGACTCAGAAGTCTCCCCACGTGGGACACTCTCCCCTTCCCTGCATGAATCTTCCAATCCCTTCAACCCCTCTGCTCTCCCCGCCACATCTTCGCTTCCTCTCAACGGCGATGACCTTTGAACGCCCTCCTTGGCCGCCTCTACCCTCTCCACCTCAGCGTCTGTTCCTATGCGAGGAGGAGCGCACTCACAGGGACTCGTCCTTATGACGGGGCATTTATCTTCGCTTCCTCTCAAGGACGAGTCCCTGTGAGTGCACTCCTCCTCGCATTCTGCTGGTGCATCTGTGCTGTTACTCTCACAGCTCAAGTCGCGATCCACAGCGCTGCCACTGCCACTGCCACTGCCGCTGCCTGTGCAGCGCTGTGGGTGAGCAACGGTGGCAGCAGTGCTGTGTGTCAGCTCTGGCAGCGGCGGCACTGCAGCATCAGTGTTCGTGCTGCTGCTGCCAGAGCCAGTGACAGCGGCAGTGGCAGTGGCAGTGGCAGTGGCAGTGGCAGTGGCAGTGGCAGTGGCAGTGGCAGTGGCAGTGGCAGTGGCAGTGGCACAGACGGCACTGTCACTGTCTGGCCCCAAAGGGGGGTTGTCACAGTGTTGCTGAGCAACGGGCAGGGCACAGATGTCACTCCACACGCCACACACCGCTGCTCTGCCACCATCCAGCACCATCACTCTGTCGCAGCTGGGGATGTGGGGGGGGGAGGAAGGGGGCAGAATGGACACTGAGGGAAGCTGAGGAAGAGCATCAGAACAAGAGGCCGCAGGATTAGGGAGAGGGATCAAATGGGCAAGCCGAAGGAAAGAAGGTACATCTTCTGTGTGCATGGATGATTTCGAGCAGACAAAACACTTGTGGTGTGCACGCACGCGTGAATGGGACGCAACAGAAACGTACAGGCGCATGACCAGACACACCACAGGGGAAGGGCAACGAGCCCATATGCGAGTGCAAGTGTGTAAAAAGCGGCGGCGGTGCAAGTGTGCAATGGAGGGCGGTTCACTGTGCAAAATACTCCGTTCCCCTCCCTCATCAAATAATCCTCTGTTCCCACCCATCCCTTCCCCGCCACTACCGTACTGTTAGAACTGGAGCTTGAAATGGTACATTAGTAATGAGCTCAAAGCTTTTTAAGACATCAGAAATGAGCAAGGTTTAGATGAGGAGGAAATCGGGGGCAAACTCAAGGGGATCGGGGGCAATCCCAAGGCAATCTCCAATTGGTGGGTTGGAGATTGCTTGGTGATCACGCTTGGGTTTGGTTGGGATGTGGGTGTACACCCAACCAAACAAAAAGTGCAAACTACACTAGGCTAGGATATAGAAAGTACAAATACAAAAGTTGAGATTGAGGGCTAGCTCTAACACATACCTGCCAAGGTACTGCGCGTGGTGAGTGACGACAATCCGGGGCAACCCTGCCAGCAGCCCACACACGCACTGCTGAAACACGTGGCAGGCAATGGCTGGATCCAACGCGGCTAGCGGGTCGTCTAGGAGGACCAGCACGGGTGGGGAAGCACCCCTGCTGCTGCTGCTGCTGCTGCTGCTGCTGCTAGTTCTCTTGCTGCTGCTATAGTTACCACCACTGTTTCCACTGCTGCTACCACTATTGCTGCTGCCATTGCAATCAGTGTATGCCTGAGGTGTGGCATATGCTGCCAGGGGCGACTTTTGCGTCGACTCAAAAGTCATCTTGCAGTGCAGGGCGGCATACGCCGCCCGGGCGAGCGACACGCGCGCCCTTTGCCCGCCACTAAGGTTGCCGCCGCCCTCCTCCACCAAATTCGTCGCCACGTGGCAATAGGGCCAAGTCCGCGCGGAGCGCACAGGCGTCCAACACCTTCAGTGGGGGAGGGAGATAGCAAGAGAGAAGGGGGGGGGGGGGGGGGGGGGAGAGAAGGGAGATAGGGGAGCAAGAGAGAGCGGGGAGGAGAGCGCAATGCGGACGACGTTTAAGGCACCTCAAAAGTCCGACGTTTGAGCACAGGACACACGCATCCACCACCTTGAGTGGGGGGGGGGGGGGGGGGGGCAGCAGAGTGTGCGAGGGGGAAGAAGGCATTAATAGACGTTCAGAGACGATAACTAGCAGAATGAGAGAGAGTGGCGAGGAGATGGAGGCGGGGAGGAGATAGAGGCGGGGAGGAGAGGGCAAAGGGGAGGAGAGGGCAAAGGGGAGGAGAGGGCAAAGGGGAGGAGAGGGCAAAGGGGAGGAGAGGGCAAAGGGGAGGAGAGGGCAAAGGGGAGGAGAGGGCAAAGGGGAGGAGAGGGCAGGGGGGAGGAGAGGGCAAGGGGAGGAGAGGGCAAAGGGGAGGAGAGGGCAAAGGGGAGGAGTGGGCAAAGGGGAGGAGTGGGTGATGGGGAAATGGGACTGCGGAGGGGAGCCTTAAGAGACGTTCAAACGCAAGATAGAATCAGGGCAGACCTACCTTGGCATGAAGTGTACCTTGGCATGAAGTGTACCTTGGCATGAAGTGTACCTTGGCATGAAGTGTACCTTGGCATGAAGTGTACCTTGGCATGCAGTGTACCTTGGCATGAAGTGCACCTTGGCATGCAGTGTACCTTGGCATGCAGTGTACCTTGGCATGCAGTGTACCTTGGCATGAAGTGTACCTTGGCATGAAGTGTACCTTGGCATGCAGTGTACCTTGGCATGAAGTGTACCTTGGCATGAAGTGTACCTTGGCATGCAGTGTACCTTGGCATGCAGTGCACCTTGGCATGCAGTGCACCTTGGCATGCAGTGCACCTTGGCATGCAGTGTACCTTGGCATGCAGTGCACCTTGGCATGCAGTGTACCTTGGCATGCAGTGTACCTTGGCATGCAGTGTACCTTGGCATGCAGTGCACCTTGGCATGCAGTGTACCTTGGCATGCAGTGTACCTTGGCATGCAGTGCACCTTGGCATGCAGTGTACCTTGGCATGCAGTGTACCTTGGCATGCAGTGTACCTTGGCATGCAGTGCACCTTGGCATGCAGTGTACCTTGGCATGCAGTGTACCTTGGCATGCAGTGTACCTTGGCATGCAGTGCACCTTGGCATGCAGTGCACCTTGGCATGCAGTGCACCTTGGCATGCAGTGTACCTTGGCATGCAGTGCACCTTGGCATGCAGTGTACCTTGGCATGCAGTGTACCTTGGCATGCAGTGTACCTTGGCATGCAGTGTACCTTGGCATGCAGTGCACCTTGGCATAGAGAGCCTCGTCTAGCGGTGTGCCGAATAGGATGTTTTCACGCACCGTGCCTTCGATGAGGAACGGCTGGTGGCATAGACGCACACCGGGGAAAGGGAGAGGAGGGGAGTGGAAGGGTGGGGGAGGTTTTAGTCGACGCAAAACTCGAATAGGATGTTGTCTCGCACCGTCCCCTCAATGAGGAGCGGCTGGTGGCATAGACGAGACACAAACGGGGGAAAGGGGAGAGGAGGGGCTGTGAGAGAGAGGAAGGTGGTTGGTGGTAGGTTGTAATATGCACAAGTGAGTCGAAGAGGTACGGGAGGACACAACACAGGGATGTGCCTTGTGCGTGGAAGGGAAAGGCTGGTACACATCAGGTCACTGGCAAAGGGTGCCAAAGGATGAGAGACGAGTGGGTAGGGAAGGGGTGAGAGAGAGACGAGTAGCAAAGGTTGAGCAGCAAATGGGAGGCAGACCTGCTGCGATGCGTAGGCGAGGGAGGGCACGGAGCGGTGCATGGCGCCGGATGAGAGAGGCACTTCCCCGAGGATACCCAGCAGCAGCAGTGACTTGCCACTGCCCGTCTGCGAGGTGGAAAGGGTGGGGTGGGAGGCAGTGTAAATGGCATGATCACATCGGTGTTTTCTTGAAGCCTGCATTACTGTCAAGTGCGATACTCAGCAGGTAGCACAGCAGGCAGCACAGCAGGCAGCACAGCAGGCAGCACAGCAGGCAGCACAGCAGGCAGCACAGCAGACAGTAGAACAGTCTGTGACAGCCAGAGGCGCACAACACGCACAAGGCACAGGCATGCCTTGCGGAACATAGCAGGACATAGCAGGCCATAGCAGGCCATAGCATTCCATGGCATTTTATAGCATTCCATGGCATTCCATAACAGGCAATCGCAGGCAATAGCAGGGCGCACGAAGCAACCAGCGGGCTTACCTTGCCAGTGACTCCCACGACCTCTCCCTCTCACCTTGCCAGTGACTCCCACGACCTCTCCCTCTCACCTTGCCAGTGACTCCCACGACCTCTCCCTCTCACCTTGCCAGTGACTCCCACGACCTCTCCCTCTCACCTTGCCAGTGACTCCCACGACCTCTCCCTCTCACCTTGCCAGTGACTCCCACGACCTCTCCCTCTCACCTTGCCAGTGACTCCCACGACCTCTCCCTCTCACCTTGCCAGTGACTCCCACGACCTCTCCCTCTCACCTTGCCAGTGACTCCCACGACCTCTCCCTCTCACCTTGCCAGTGACTCCCAGCAGCTCTGCCTCTCCCACCCTCACGCTCACTCCCTCCACCCGACCGCTCGGTGCGCGTGCACCGTCTATCTCAACATGCCCCTCTTGCTCCTCCTGTGCAGTCACACACGTGCCCTCCAAGGCAGCAGCACCAGCAGCATCAGCAGAAGCAGCAGCAGCAGAAGGGCCAACAGCAGGGGAAGGGCCAGCAGCAGCATGAAAGCTCATGAATCGCTGCAGGGAACGCGCGCGGAAAGCCTTGGGGATGCGTCGGAAACTCCTGACTCTGCTCATGTAGCCCTTGCCATAAGGCGTGCCATCGACCGTGCGAGGCTCGGTGACATCCAGAACATGCCCGGCCGATGCTTGAGTCGACTCGGCAATCGCCTCAAGCGCTTGCTTTTTCCTCCTTCCTCTGAATCCCTTTCCTCCTTCCTCTTTGCTCTCCCACTTCCCCTCGCCCTTAACCTCCCCGGCTGCTTCTCCCCAAGCAAAAGAAGCCCTTTCAAGCACCAAGGCAGCACGGGGGGGGCAGGGAAGGCGTGAGGGAGCAGAGGAGGAGAGGCTGTGGCTGGGCTGTGAGGCGAGCTCCGAGGATGGTGAGGACTGGAGACTCGGTGCTGGGGGGTGTATACTTGGTACTGGAGACTGGAGACTCGGTGCTGTGAGAGCAGCAGTTGTTGATTCATGTGGCTTGGTGGTGGTTGGGGTGTCAAGGGCATGGCAGCGCGCTTTTGGGAGCAGAGCAGAGCCATTCTGAGATGGCGCTTCTTGCTGCCTGGCTCCGTGGGGAGTGGTCTGTTGGAGTGAAGGTGGCACGCACAGGGAGGTGCATGTAGAGGCAGGCAACGGGGATGAGATGGCATTCAGTAAGCTGGACGAGCCACTCATCGCACCCACCCACCTATCCACCCACCCACCTACCCATACACATTGAGGCTTGCTCTCATCACCAATCGCACCTCATCACAACATTGCAACCGTTATTTGTGGTGCTCTAACCAGACAACAGGGCGTGCGCTGCAACGCGTTGATAGCGATAGGCGGTGAAAAGCCGAGAGAAGCGGTGCGTGGTTTCGAGTCGAGTCAAGAAGAATCGTTGCAAACGTGTTGGCCGGTAACAGTAGGCGGTGAAAAGACAAGAGAAGGGTGGGTGGGTGGGTTGGCAACAGCAAAGAGCACGCTGCTTCCTGCATGCTGACCTGCAGGAAGTGTGAGAGTCGCTTGAAGCTGACAAATGCCTCTGCTATTTGCTGTATGCCATAGGCCACCTTCCACCCCATGGTGTAGTGCGGGATCTGTGGGGATATGGTATGGAGGGGCGGAGGGACCGGAGGGAGGAGCGGAGGGAACGGAGGGAGGAGCGGAGGGAACGGAGGGAGGGGAGGAAGGGAAGTGTGGGGCATGTTAGTGGACTGTTTACAGAGAAGCAACGGTGCAACTGATTAGAAAGAAGCAACGGTGCACGATGAGATGACCATCCCACTCAGCTCAGTCACCCACGATTGTTGAGGCGCCTCAACGATTGCAACGGTGCACAATGGCCAGCAGCCCACGCGCCGTTGAGCAACGCATTCAATCCAATCCACTCCCCCATGCGCATTGATGAGTGGGCAGCGCTACTGTGAGTGAAAGCACGTGCACGTGTATGTATCCCGTCAACTCTGCTCGACTAAGGGCCCAGGAAAGACGCACCTCGAGGAGCATGAGCGAGCACGTATGCTTTTGAGTCGACTCAATAGGAGCATGAGCGAGCATGTAGAACACAGCGCCGCTGTGAGTTGGCCTCCGAGGCACGTGAGGGTGTTTATGAGGCGCCTCAAGAACTGAGTTAGCACGAAGCGTGAGCGCTCGGCTGAGGGGCACGGAAGCAAGGAAAGACGTACCTGGAGGAACGTGAGCGAGCATGTAGAACACAGCGGCCGCCGTGAGAGGTGCCCTCTGAGGCACGCTGTGAGAGATGCAGTTTTCCTTTCGGATGGCTCGATGGAGGTGCATGGAAGGGAAGCAAGGAGAGGTGCAGCGCACCTCGAGGAGAGTAAGCACGTAGAACACAGAGGCTGCGGTGAGTTGCCCTCCGAGGCACGTGAAGGTGGCGAAGGTGACGAGGGCGACCACGGAGGTGAAGGAGAAGTAGAGTGCAGCCGTCACGGCGTTGAGGGCGGCTGTCCACTGCAGGCTGCGTGGAAGACGAGAGGGGAGGATGGAGGGGATTTGTAGGTGACTTAGAAAGCCACCACGGAGGTGAATGAGAAGTAGAGTGCAGCCGTCACGGCGTTGAGGGCGGCTGTCCACTGCAGGCTGGCAGAAGGACGGACGGGGCGGATGGAGGGTGCAGGGCAGGGAGGTGGAGGGATGCTTTTTAGGCGGCTCAAAAAGCGTCCATCACGGCGTTGAGGGCGGCTGTCCACTGCAGGTTGGCATAAGGAAGGGCGGGGCGGATGGAGGGGATTATTGGGGTGCCTCAGAAGCAACCAGCGAGGTGAATGAGAAGAAGAGGGAGCCAATGATGATTCTGATTAGGAGCGGAGTCAATGACAAGGACTGTTCGAGAGAGAGAGAGGGGTTCTGCTTTTGAGTCGACTCAAAAGTGGACGGAAGGAGCGAATGCTGATTCTGATTAGGAGCGGAGCGGATTCAATGACAAGGACTGTTCGAGAGAGAGGGGGGGTGGAGGGGCGGGCGAGGGTGAGAGGGAAGAAGAGGGAGAGGGGAAAGCTTGGAACAAATGAGGGAGGGGTGGGAAGGGGATAGGGAGGGCAAAAGTGGTGGGAGTTGGAGGGGATGGACTCACAAGGACACTTCTGTGCGCCTGATTCGTTGGATGATTGCTGTGAGCGGCCCCTCCAGAGCCAGCGTCTTCACTGTCAGGATGCCGCCCAGAGCCTGTTGTGGGGCAAGGAAATGGGTGAGTGGGTAGGTGGGGTTGTTGGGTGAGTGAGAGGGGACGAGAATTGAAGGATGTTAGGAGCATCCCTTCCAGAGCCAGCGTCTTCACCGTCAGGATGCCGCCCAGAGCCTGTTGTGGGGCAAGGAAATGGGTGAGTGAGATCGGACGGGAGTTGAAGGATGTTACGAGGGGAACACAAGGCAGGCAGGCACGTGAGAGGCCAAGGATATGCCATACTGCAGTGCAATTCCAATGACAGGTCGAGAACATACCTTTCTAACCTCCTCTCTTCCCCTCCCTCACCCAACCCCTCTCGTCCCCTCCCTCACCCAACCCCTCTCGTCCCCTCCCTCACCCAACCCTTCTCGTCCCCTCCCTCACCCAACCCCTCTCCTCCCCTCCCCCATCCAACCCTCCTCGTCCCCTCCCTCCCCCATCCCCACTCTTTCCCTCTCCCTCCTCCCCAACCGCCCACCTCCTCTGTGTGCTTGACGCGTGCATCTGTGGCCTCCGCCGTTTTTGCCCGCAGCCACACCCTCCACTTGCCACACGCCAGCTGGTGTTGCTCGGTTGTTCGGGGGTGGGGTGGAGGGAGGGGGGGGGGGAAGGGGAGGAGGAGTGGAGCACGTAAGGGGAATGGAGAGAGTGGCACATGGAGGACAGACGGGGAAGAGCGGGTGAGGCTGACATGTGTGCTTGACGCGTGCATCTGTGGCCTGCGCAGTTTTTGCCCGCAGCCGCACCCTCCACTTGCCACACCCCAGCTGGTGTTGCTCGGTTGTTCGGGAGGGAGAGAGAAGCGTGCATGTGGGAGAAAAGAAGCGGCTGACAAGGTGTGAGGGGGCAACCAGGCATGCTTGCGTTTTGAGACGTCTCAAAATACAACCTCTATCATTGTGCATGTGGGAGAAAAGAAGCGGCTGACAAGGTGCGAAGGGGCAATCAGGCATGCTTGCGTTGCAGGCACAGGCACATTAGTGAGGGGACATTCTTAGCCTTGTAGCACCCAGTTTCCACTACACATATAAGGACCATCTGAGAAAGAGAGAGGGGGGCCAAACCACGAATGCCAGTGACAACCACGCACCTGTAGCGGAAGAAGCAGCAGTTGAGTGCCAATGCCAGCGATGGTGGGCACCCATCCGATCTCCCTCGCTATAAGCCACGTGACCAACACAAGCTCGATTGGAGCCTGCACAACGACGGAAACAGGAAAGCAAGACGTACGCAGGGAGTCTGTATTTCCGCGCCTTACAATAAGCCAGGTGACACTGTGACAATCACGAGTTCCTATTGGGGCCTGCGTAACAACGGAAACAGGACAGAAAGACAAGCAGCCAGGGGGTCTGTTTTGAGGCGCAAAAAAATCAGCCAAGTGACCAACACAGGCTCTATCGGAGCCTGCGTAACAACGGAAACAGGACAGCAAGACAAGCAACCAGGGACGCAGGAACACAGGAATACGGAGAATGTGTGACGTGAAGACAGGCAGTCATTCACAAGAAAGGCAAGCAGCGTTGTTCGAATGGGTTTAGGGTAAAGGCAAGCAGCGTTGTTCGAATGGGTTTAGGGTAACGGCAGCCGCATTCTTCTTGACCTTGCTCCTATCCACTCCCTCTTCTCGTCTCCTTCACCCACCACCGCAGACCCCACTCCACGCCACTCCATTCCAAAGCCCTTCCCCAGACAGCCCCATTCCCCATCCCCCATCCCTGGCACCACTCCCAATCGTGCACTTTGCCTCACCACACAGAGAGCGCCTGGCTGCAGAGCACCAGGTCGTCCAATCCCCCATCCGCCATCCGTCATCCCTCACTCACCCCCCACCCCACCATGTGCCCCGCCTCACCACCCATAGCGCCTGCCCGCAGAACACCAGGTCGTCCAATCGGCGCACGTCATTGGACAGCAAATTGATGAAGTGAACGCTGCACCCCATCCCCCCATCCGCCATCCCCCACCAGTTTCCCCCCCCACCCCACCGTGCGCTTCGCTTCGCCTCACCACCCAGAGCGCCTGGCTGCAGAACACCAGGTCGTCCAATCGGCGCACGTCATTGGACAGCAGGTTGATGAAGTGAACGCTGCACCCCATCCCCCCATCCGCCATCCCCCACCAGTTCCCCCCCCCACCCCACTGTGCGCTTCGCTTCGCCTCACCACCCAGAGCGCCTGGCTGCAGAACACCAGGTCGTCCAATCGGCGCACGTCATTGGACAGCAGGTTGATGCAGTGCCCGCTGCTGACGTGGCTCAGCGCACTGGCGGTGAGCGTGAGGAGGTGACGATGCACTGCAGGGGAGACAGTGGGTGTGAGAGGGGAGGGGAGGAACATCAAGTTGACTTTCAAAACGAATCAGAAGTCATCATCGCTTATTGTGACACACACTTTCTTCCAAGAGGAGGTGACGATGCACTACAGGGGAGACAGTGGGTGTGAGAGGGGAGGGGAGGAAGAGCGAGTTGACTTTTGAGAGTGGGCGGGGAGGAAGCAGAAGTGGAGTGGATGGGGAGGAAGCAAATGTGGGCGGGAGGACAATCGGGGAAAGGGCTGAGGGGGATGGACGGAAAGAAACAGAGGCCCGTTGTGGCCACCGCCAGTGAATTTTGAGGCGCCTCAAACGCTCCCTCTCCTCACCTGCACTGATGGCGGCGGTGCGAGTGTTGGTGGAGACAACATATGCGCGGTAGCACAGCTGCTGGGTCACCACGGCCAGCACCACCGCCAGTGCCACTGACTTTTGAGGCGCCCCAAACTCTCCCTCTCCCTCTACTCACTGACCTGCGCTGATGGCGGCAGTGCGAGTGTTGGTGGAGACGACATATGCGCGGTAGCAGAGCTGCTGGGTCACCACGGCCAGAGCCACCGCAACTGCGCCCATCCCTGCTGCCGTGAGGTAGCCCTCCGTGGGCCCACACTGTCCTGCCTCGCTGCTGCTGCTGCTGCTGCTGCTGTCACACGCTTCCAGGTAGGCGACCTGGTGGAGGGGAAGGAAAGGGGAGGGGAGACGTATGCGCGGTAGCAGAGCTGCTGGGTCAGCGCGGCCAGCGCCACTGCCAGTGCGCCCAGCCAGCCCTGCTGCTGTGCAGGGAGTTTTTGAGAATTCTCAAAAACTCCCTGCAACGTGAGATAACCCTCAGTGGGCCCGCACTGCCCTGCCTCGGCGGCCGCTGCTGCTGCTGCCACTGCTGCTGCTGCCGTCACTGCTGCTGCTGCCGTCACACGCTTCCAGGTAGGCGACCTGGTGGAGGGGAAGGATGGGGCAAAGAGGATTGATGGAGAGTGCGGAGGAGTGGGGGAGAGGAGAGGAGGGGTATGGTTTTGGAAATGATGAAGCGTAAGAGGCTCGTCATTCACACGATTATATACGCACATTCACGCCTGCACGCACACACGCAGTCACCATGCAATACAGCAGCACTCACAATGCGATACAGCAGCACTCACTATGCAATACAGCAGCACTCACTATTTGAGACAGCAGCACTCACGATGCGATACAGCAGCACTCACTATGCGATACAGCAGCACCCACTATGCGATACAGCAGCACCCACTATGCGATACAGCAGCACTCACTATGCGAGACAGCAGCACTCACGATGCGATACAGCAGCACTCACGATGCGATACAGCAGCACTCACGATGCGATACAGCAGCACTCACGACGCGATACAGCAGCACTCACGATGCGATACAGCAGCACTCATGATGCGATACAGCAGCACTCAAGATGCGATACAGCAGCACTCACTATGCGATACAGCAGCACTCACGATGCGAGACAGCAGCACTCACGATGCGAGACAGCAGCACTCAAGATGCGATACAGCAGCACTCACGATGCGATACAGCAGCACTCACGATGCGATACAGCAGCACTCACTATGCGATACAGCAGCACTCACGATGCGATACAGCAGCACTCATGATGCGATACAGCAGCACTCAAGATGCGATACAGCAGCACTTACGATGCGATACAGCAGCACTCAAGATGCGATACAGCAGCACTTACGATGCGATACAGCAGCACTCAAGATGCGATACAGCAGCACTTACGATGCGATACAGCAGCACTTACGATGCGATACAGCAGCACTTACGATGCGATACAGCAGCACTTACGATGCGATACAGCAGCACTTACGATGCGATACAGCAGCACTTACGATGCGATACAGCAGCACTTACGATGCGATACAGCAGCACTTACGATGCGATACAGCAGCACTTACGATGCGATACAGCAGCACTTACGATGCGATACAGCAGCACTTACGATGCGATACAGCAGCACTTACGATGCGATACAGCAGCACTTACGATGCGATACAGCAGCACTTACGATGCGATACAGCAGCACTCACAATGCGATACAGCAGCACTTACGATGCGATACAGCAGCACTTACGATGCGATACAGCAGCACTTACGATGCGATACAGCAGCACTTACGATGCGATACAGCAGCACTCAAGATGCGATACAGCAGCACTTACGATGCGAGACAGCAGCACTTACGATGCGAGACAGCAGCACTTACGATGCGAGACAGCAGCACTTACGATGCGATACAGCAGCACTTACGATGCGATACAGCAGCACTCAAGATGCGATACAGCAGCACTTACGATGCGATACAGCAGCACTTATGATGCGATACAGCAGCACTTACGATGCGATACAGCAGCACTTACGATGCGATACAGCAGCACTTACGATGCGATACAGCAGCACTTACGATGCGATACAGCAGCACTTACGATGCGATACAGCAGCACTTACGATGCGATACAGCAGCACTTACGATGCGATACAGCAGCACTTACGATGCGATACAGCAGCACTTACGATGTGATACAGCAGCACTTACGATGCGATACAGCAGCACTTACGATGCGATACAGCAGCACTTACGATGCGATACAGCAGCACTTACGATGCGATACAGCAGCACTTACGATGCGATACAGCAGCACTTACGATGCGATACAGCAGCACTTACGATGCGATACAGCAGCACTTACGATGCGATACAGCAGCACTTACGATGCGATACAGCAGCACTTACGATGCGATACAGCAGCACTTACGATGCGATACAGCAGCACTTACGATGCGATACAGCAGCACTTACGATGCGATACAGCAGCACGGCTTTGACCACATGAAGCATCGACTCCCCGAGAAACATCACTGCCAGCAGCAACAGCGCCCACCGGTGCGGCCAGTACAGAGCCGCCCAAAACGGCCACTTCCGTGTGTCCTCTGCCCACTTCCGCCTGCCCCTGCCCCCTGCCTTCCATCCGCCCGACACCACCAACTGACCGCTTCCGTTCCCCTCCCGCCTTCCCCCCTGCTCCCCTTCACACTGCTCCTCCTCCTTCCGCCCCCATTCCCCATGCTCCTCCCTCTTCCGCCCCCTCTCCCCCTGCTCCCCGTCCATTATGCGCGCCGTTTGTGCGTCCAGCCAATCCGCGCGCCAGGTGCGCGGGGGCGGGGGGAGGTCCGCCGACTGCAGCGTTGTGCGCGCGCCCAGGCGCATTGTGGGGGTCACCTGCGCGCGCGCAGCATTGGTTGGTTTCGTTGTGCGTGGGGGAAGGGAAAGGGAAATGGGTAAGGGAGGGGGCGGAATTGGAGGTGAGAGAGAGGCAAGTAAGTCGCACACACACACGCTAGTAGTGAGTGAGCTGCCTAGCAAGCAGGCTACGCCGAAGGAAGCAAGGAAGAAAACGAGTGACTTGGGTGGAACTGGGCTGCATCCAGCAGAGCATGCAGCAGCCGAGCATGCAGCAGCCGAGCAGGCTGCATGCACGTGACCCACCCACCCATGCGAACGTCAATGCCGACCACAGGCTCGGCTCTCCATCGTCTCCCTCGCCTTCCCCCGCCTCCTCCTCCCCCTCCTCTTCCGCCTCCTCCTCCCCCTCCTCTTCCGCCTCCTCCTCCGCCGCCTCCTCCTGGAAAATGTCAACAGCAGGAGCAGCATTGGTGCCTTGGCCATCACCGACGGCTGTCGTTTCTATCACCGGAGCCGCGCCGCCATCCTCGCAATTGTCGCATGCCCCTGCGAGCAGCAACCGCCCATCCTCCTTGTCGCAAATGTCGCCCGTGGTTATTGTCACGTCGTCGAAGTAACGCGTCTCGCTGACGCTCCGATCGGCTACAGCAATGTCGGTTCGCGGCTGCTTCTGCTGCCGTTCTAAATCCGGAGATAGTGTCATCTCGCCTCCGTCCGTTGAATCAAAACTTGGGGGACACTTTGCGGGGTTATAACACCTCGCTACCCACTGGGTCAAAACGAGGGTCCGTGTTAGATGCAGGCGTTACAGGAGTGGTGAGCGCCGACGACTAAGCCGGTGCTGCTGAGGCGAGTCGCCGCGCCCCTTGACTGTCGCTGTACAGCGACAGATAGGAATTTGACAGTCAGTCTATCCGGCAGATATGAATTTGATAGGAATTCGATGTTGCCGTGTCGCTTGGTTGCCTACGTCGGACAGTTACCCGGAATTTGACTGTCAGTCTATCTGCCAGTCATTCAGTCAGTCTGTTTCTGGGCCGTTTCGTCTCAAACGTAGCTGGCCGTCCAAAGAGAGTGAGCGACGATGGCGGTTCTGTTTACTCGCTTCAAACGAAACGGTATCGTCTATCTCAATGAATTAAGTGTGTAGTCTGATGACCCGAGGAATGAAGTTCGTCCTTTTGCCACGAGACGCCGGTATCGCCTATCGCCGCGAGACTCTCATGGACGTCCCAAAAACGAAATCCGATACGTTATGATAATGCTGCATGAATCGTGCATGAGTCCCGCTATGCACCTCTGGTGGACATGAAAAAAGGCCACCATGATGCATTGCTGAACGGGGGATACCTGAGCGAACATGAGTTCGCTCGCGCACACACATGCGTTTCTTGCCTCTGGAGGCACAATGGACTGACTGAGGCAGAGGCAACTCGAGGATGATCGCTGCAGGAATCCACCCCACCCCACCCACAGAAGAAAATAAATGGTGAGACGGCAACAATGGGTATAAAGCATGTCTGACATTGCCGTTGTGCTGGCGTCTCACGCATGATTGTTTTACAGATCTGTTCAGGCGGGTAATTAACGGTTTAAAGCGGTGACGCGTACAGACCGCTCAGAAGCTCATCATCGCTAACCGTTTGAACTGAACGAAAAAAGCAACCTTTAGTCACGCCTTACTAGTCACATCCCTGGAACAGAAACATCTAAACACAGTGTTTATCTTCTCTGGACTAAACACCTAAATAACTAAAACCCTTAGGAAGGCAGGAATCAACTCTACACATCATGCAAAAGGTGTTCAGGGTTGATGCCACCCATGCTTGCATGACTTTCACCCGAGGGTTTATTTTGTTTTGCCCCGGGTAGCAAGCTTGCTGGGCGGAGTCGTCTGTATATACCCTATTATCAACAAAAAAAAAACACTCGAACGGCGCTTTTCAACTTGCATATTTGTTGTTTATTCCAACTCCATACCAAACCCATTGTTACGCTCGCTCCCACAGTTGCTTTGTGTATTCACAACATAAAGGACATTCAGATTTGCTGCTCCACCTGAACAATGCAACAGGTACACTACCACTGTATGACAAGCAGACTGACTGTCCTGCTTGTGCAGCCCGAGAGTATGCTGCTCTGTTTGCATAGAGGAGCACAAAAGGAGCACCTAAAGTGTATGAGTGAAACCGTGGGAGGGCAAGCAGCTTCCAACCGTGCCACCACAGAGTGCAGCATCGAGGGTGACGTTTCAGTGGACTCAGAAACCTTATGGAGTCAGGGTGTCAGTGGGAAGGCAAGCAGCCCGAGCTGTGACACCGCATCCCGCAGCACTCGAGGTGACTTCCAGGTAGACTCAACGCCCTACTTATGAAGCAACCAGGCTGTCAGTGGGAGGGCATGCAGCTCCCAGCCGTGCCACCACACCCTGCAGTACTTGCTTCCTGCTCAATCGGAACTGCACCGCTGTTACCTTCTCCTCCAGCACTGGCAGCAGCACTGCACACCTGCACCGCACTCCCATCACTGTCATCCTCTCCCCTCCCAACCTCCCTCCTCTCGACCTCCCTCGTTTCAACCTCCCTCCAGTTGGCCTCCCTCCTGAGAGTGTCTCTCTTGCCCCGCGTCTCCCCCTCTCCCCATCTCCACTACCTCCTCTCCGCCACTCCTCACAACCCCTCTCAACCTCCTCTTCCTCCCTTCGCCTCCTCTCCTCGTCGTCGCCCCTCCCTTCCACCTCCTCGCCTTCCTTTACTCCCTCTCCCTCTGTGTCTCCCCTCCTTACCTCCCGTCTCCCACTCTCCTCTCTCCTTTCCCTCTCCTTGCACCGCTCCAGCTCCCTCAGGATCGCTTCGTCCTCTTCTATGCCGGTCGGCATCTGCTGCAGCCGCGCCTGCGCTAGCAGACGAACGGTGTCGGCCGCTGCTTGCAGGGCGGGCAGCATGTCAGGGGCGGGCGAGGAGAGGAACCGGCAGGAGCTGTTGCTGACCGCCCACCCCAGGTAGACCGCTGAGCTGGTTAACACTGTAGGGGGGTCTGTGTGTGTATAAGGGGGGATGGAAAAAGGAATGAAGCAGCATGTCAGGGGCGCGGAGGGGGGTGGGGAGAAGAGGAACCGAAACGTACTGTTGCTGACGGCCCATCCCAGGTACACTGCTGAGCTGGTCAACACTGCAGAAGATCTGTGTGTTTGGGGAAAGGGGAAGAGGAGGGGGGAGGGCGAGGAATCAAATTGGGCTCCACAAGCCCTTTTGCCCACACCGCCCTCCTCGTCTGCCTCACCTGTCTGGTGCTGGAAATAGCAGTGGTGCCACGGCCAAAGCCCCACCTTTTCCATGCTGCAGAGAGTAGATCATCACAGAAAGGTCCAGAGAACGCACACACCTCGTTGATGCTGCAGAAAGTAGAATGGAGCAGCAAGCGCACCCGCCTCGTTGATACTGCAGATGGTAGAACACAGCAGCAAGAGCAGCAATGAGATTGAGCTCCACGAACCCTCTCGCCCACACCGCCACGCCCATACCCACCTCCCTGCCCGCCTCACCTGTCCGGCCAGAGATCGCACCTCGCTGATACTGCAAGTAGTAATACACAGCAGCAAGGGCAGCGATGAGATTGGGCTCCACGAGCCCTCTCGCCCACACCGCCACGCCCACCCTGCCCTCCTTGTCCGCCTCTGTCCTCTCCTCCACGCCCCCCAGCACCTCCTCCACCTCGCTCACTCTCCTGATCCGCTGCATCAGCTCAAACGGTGGGCCGCCACTCTCAGCTGCGCTGTAGAACTTCCCGCCCTCCTCCTCTCGCTCCCTCACCACGGCCTCCACTGCCCGCGCTGCCACCCGCCACAGCTGCCGCTTCAGCCGATGCAGTGGAATAGTCGTGCGCTCAGGTTCTCCCTCCCCGCTTCTCTCTCCACCGTCAATTAGCCACGCACCCGCACCAGCACCAGCACCAGCACCAGCACCAGCACCAGCGCTCCCCCACACGCGCAGCAGCTTCTGCTTAATCTCTTCCCGCCAAGGAATGGAAGAGGGGGTGGGTTGAATGCGAGGGGAAGGGCTGGAAACACTGCCAGCTGTAGCATGAACTGTTGCCCCGGCTGCATTGGCCGCTGTAGCCTCACAAGTGGCGGCTGTAGCAGCATCAGCAGTACTGCACGTGTGCTTCACTTCACTGGAGCCAGCAGGCGCAGCAGCAGCAGGGCAGGCAGCAGCTGCAGCAGCATCACATGCAGGCTTCGGCTTGTGCTCTGCAGCAGCAGCAACACAGCGGCCTCTGCTTCTCTCCTCATTCGCCACACCACCACAAACATCATCGCCATCACCACCACGACCAGTTGTTATGTCATCCTCTCCTTCTCCTCCCGCTCCTCCCTCCAACCCCCTCTGTCCCTCCTCCTGCTGCACTGCTAGCTTGACCCCTCGCTGCTGCAAGCCTCCATGATTTGCCGCTTCGAATTTGCCACCCCCCTTCTGCTGCTCCCTATGGTGGCGGATGAGAGCCACAACAAGGTGAACAGCGTGGGAGAGCGAGGGCAGCAGGGGGGCGTGGTCGAACATGTTCCCCGGCAGCACGAAGCCATACGCCTCCAGCAGGTCCTCGTTGCCCCGCAGCCCGTAGCTCGTGCTCACCTCCTCTCCCCGCGCCACAGAGACTGTTGCCCCAAACTCAAACGTTGTCCCATCGGCTCCAAACTATGGGCGTGGGGTGGGAAGGGGTGAGGGAGGCAGGGAGGAGGGAGGGAGGGAGGGAGGGAGGGAGGGAGGGAGGGAGGGAGGAAGGGAGGGAGGGAGGGAGGGAGGGAGGGAGGGGAAAACAGGTAAGCGGGGTGGGGACAAACGGGGAATGGAGAGCAAGGGCAGCAGGGGGTTGTGGTCGAACATGTTCCCCGGCAGCACCAAGCCATACGCCTCCAGCAGATCCTCGTTTCCCCGCAGCCCGTAGCTCGTGCTGACCTCCTCGCCCTGACTCACCCCAGATGTTGTCCCAAACTCAAACGTATCCCCATCAGCCCCAAACTCAAACGTATCCCCATCAGCCCCAAACTCAAACGTATCCCCATCAGCCCCAAACCCAAACGCTTAATGAACGGCGGGAAGAACGGCCACAGTCGCTGCTGCAGCTCAAGCAGCTGCCAGTCGTCACATGTGACCACCCGCGGCAGATCGACGCGCCGCAGTGGCAACTGAAGTTGTCGCTGCTGGTGCGGACGATGCCTGCGTTGGTGCTGCCGTAGTCGATGCTCAACTCCTCGCCTGGCGCGATGTCCCGCAAGGCCACCACCGTCACCGAGTCTTCCAATTTGCAGTTTGGGTCGCACGAGTGGTTGATGACATCGGGCGTCTCGGGCCCACGCGTCGGATGCGGCACCTGCCAGAGGTGATCGCTGACTCGCAACGAGAGCTCTCGTATGCGCTCGTCGCTTCCCAGCAAATATTCGAGGCCAACCAGCTTGCCGGCGAAAACGAGAAGCGGTTCGCCACGTCGGATGTTCGCCAATGCGAACAGCCCCTTGAAGGCATCCGCGCCGCGGCCCTTGTAACGAGTCACTACGCGCGGGTCGTACCACCCCGACTCGGCCATCTTCCGTTCAATATGAGCCGAGCAGTGGCCGGCGAACCGCCGCTGCCAGTCGTGCGAGCGCCATTCGGTGAATGTGAGCGTTCCGCGACAGCACGCGGCGCCGCAGCGGCAGTGCAGGCCGGCATGCATGCTACCCTCCGTCTCCGTGCAGGCGTAGTCGTACGTGACGTGCTCACCCGGGCGGATGTCGCGCAAGGCGACCATGCAAGTAGGGGTAGCGTACCATGTGTTGGGGTCGCACGAGTGGTTGTAAAAAAAGCTCGGGTCTTCGTCGGGGTCCGTTATCGTGTCGTACATGTCGTCACCGACCATGTACGAAAAGTGAATCATCATTTCGCGCTTCTTATGATCGGGTTCCGCTGATAAGTCACGAGCGTGGTACACTCGCCGCGCAGCGGCCTCTTCTTCGTCCCACTCGCAAACGACCTCGCCTCGTGCGATAGAGCTGCGCGCGAACAGCCCGCGGCATTGGAAGCCGTAGAGCTGGTGCTCTCGCACGACGATGTGCGGGTGGAGACCCATGATGGAGGAGCGAGAACGGTTGGAGGATGAGTGTGTGTGAAGTGTGCAGTCTGATGACGGGAGGAAATGGTGCGCTAAATAAGTTATATCGTTGCTTGAACGTTGAGACTGATGCAAAACGCCGTGAGACGCTGTATTTATGGAATCTAGGGGAATTGGTGTGGAGGCGCGATACACTGAACGAAGGCAGAGGCCCTCAAGGTGAGGTGGAGGAACTGGAAGTCACTCACAGAAAAAAGTTCGCGTTCCAAACGAAGTTCGACCCCATCGCCCAACGAAAGGCGGAGGGCCTCGAGGTGAGGTGGAAGCGGAAGCCAATCACCCACCTCGTATGATCGCGTTCCAGGGTCGCCCCCATCCGCCTAGAAGGAGGTCCTTGACGTGAGGTGATGGAATCGTAAGCCGATTATTCACTACCATGATCGCGTTCCAGTCTCCAGTCCAGATGATGATCGCACACATCCGCCCAGAACAAAGGCAAAGCCTTTTCAAGGTGAGGTGAATTGCAAGTCGATCATTCACCGAAGTGATTGACTTAGGATTCCAACCAGCACGTTTGTTGTACATTCTTTGCGGTCTTATTCGTTATGTCACGATGCAAAACGGTGTGTCTAGAAGACGTTCTACACCGTTTAGAACCGTACGAGCTGCAATCCCCCTACCTTCGCGCTCCGGACGATGACCGCGTTCCAGTGATGACATGCATGCTTGGAGGATTGTCAGTTGTGTTGGGTGAAGTATGACGCTCGCAACCATCGCAGAATGTCGTGGGAATCAATCGCAGGTTCGCAACCAGTACCTAGGCGCCCCATCCTCTCTTTTCGTTGCCAGGTCAGACATCTGATCATCACCCATCGCCTGGAACACGATCGTGTGTGTGGAGGAATCGTGGACTGGAACACCGAATGAGTGATTGACGTGTGACATCTTTCCGCATGGGCAGAGCAAGGAGGCCGTATTCTGAGAAATCGATACAGAACGTAGGATTTCTCGATCCGACGGTGAAGATGGGAATTGAAAGATCGTCATTTCCGCAACTCACGCTTGTTGTGAGTCAGTGGAATCGCGTTACGACCAGTACTGTTCCATGGTTTAGGCGTGTTACATTTTCCGAACTCGCTGAAAGTCCGGACGGCTGTCCGGACATGTGTGAACAATGTGACTCGCATGGTCGTGTTGCGATCAATGCAACGTCGTAAGGAGGCAACACGAAGATTGCGACGTCATTTCGAACCTGACGAACTCCCCATCGAGATTTAACGAGTTCCGTAACCGTCCGGACGAAAAAATGAAACATGTAACAGCCCTTACATCCCCAGGCGCAACCCATGGATTTGAATCTATCTCAAATCTCCTCGGTCGACGAGCAGAATTTTCAACCTGCCAGTCAGCCTCTCCTACACTCTACTCTCTAACACTCTAGCTGCTGCCACTGCTGCTGCCAGCCAGCCTCTCGAACAATCGAATCAACCAAGCTCTTTTTTCTTCACAACGTGAGTGACAAAGAATCTCACGCATCAGCCCCTCTTCTCGACGCGGTAGCTTATCGATTCAACACGACGATCCGAGCTATACTGGCTATATTACACGGAGGAGCGACCCATCGCGTGAAAGAATAACTGAGAAAGACGATAGCCAGAAAGGAGTCTAACAGAACAGATACCGCTGCTCACTAACTATTGAACAAGCAGCCACGTGCGAGTTATTTCTATCCAATGCAGGCTGGAGAGACCCTCAGTTCAGTCGAAAGGGAGAAGATCGACGGAATGACAGACAGACAGACATACTGGCTGTAGCAAGCAGGAAATCCCGTCTTAGGCAGCCAGCAGCACCCCAGTCGTCAGCACTCAGCACCCCGGCGCCAAGTGTCTCCCACGTTGCGATTCAGCAGCACCCCGAGTCAAGTTCCGGTGGCGGGATGATGTTATCCCTGGACTTGGATCAGCAGCAGCCAAAGCAGCAGCGAACCGGCAATCACGCTGTGGCCGTTGATCTGAACGTCAGCGAGACGCGTTACTCTGACGATGCGACGATTATCGGCGACATTTGCGACAAGGAGGAAGGACTGCTGCTGCTCGCAGCGGCACGCGACAGTCGCGAGGATGGCGGCGCATCGGCGGCAGAAGCGACAGCCGCGGGCGGTGACCACCGCAGCAGCAGCGGTTGCGCTGCTGCTGCTGCTGGTGCTGATGATTTCGAGGAGAGGGAGGAGGAGGAGGAGGAGGAGGAGGAGGAGGAGGAGGAGGAGGAGGAGGAGGAGGAGGAGGAGGAGGAGGAGGAGGAGGAGGAGGAGGAGGAGGAGGAAGGCGAGGGAGACGATGGAGAGCTGAGCCCGTGGTCAGCGCTGACGTTCGCATGGGTGAGTGCGCTGCCTGCTTGGAAGTGGCTGGTCCATCCAAGTCACTCGCTTTCTTTCCTCGCTTCCTTCGGTGCAGCGTAGGCAGCTTAGGTTGCGTGTGTGTGACTCTCTTGCCTCTCATCTCCAATTTCGCCCCCTCCCTTCTCTCTAACCGCCCCCTCTCTTCCCCTGCCTTCCCCCTCCCTCCCCCTCCCTTCCCCGTGCACAATGAAACCAACCAACGCCGCGCCGCGCGCAGGTGACCCCCACAATGCGCATGGACGCGCGCAAAACGCTGCAGCTGGCAGGCCTCCCCCGCCCCCCCCGCACCTGCCGCGCGGAATGGCTGGACGCGCAAACGGCGCGCTTGCAAGGGGAGGGGCGGAAGGAGGAGGAGCACTGGGAAGGGGAGCAGGGGACAAGGGGTGGGTGGCGGGGAAGCGGTGAGACGGTGTTGACGGGCGGATGGAGGGATGGTTGCGCCGAAAGTGCGGAGGCCGGCGTTGGTCGGATGGATGGTGCGGCGAGGCATCTTAAAACTCGGGCTGATGGGGGGGATGGTTGCCCCCAGGGGCACGCGATGGTCTCGTGCGGTGACCCGGCGTTGGTCGGCTGTGGGCGGGGGGCTGGCGGAAATGGCCTTTTTGGGCGGCTCTGTATTGGCCGCACCGGTGGCAGCTGCTGCTGCTTGCAGTTCTGTTTCTCGGGGAGTCGATTCTGCAAGTAATCAAAGCCGTGCTGCTGTATCAGATAGTGAGTGCTGCTGTATTGCATGGCGAGTGCCTACGTTGGTGAATCGCGTTTCGCGTGTAGTATGCAAGCGTATATACGCCAAACGCTGCCCAAAAGGGGGTATGGTACGCACAGCCGAATGCATGCCCGGGCAGGTAAAAAAACTTTCCGGCGAGGTGCTAAGCACTCGCAAACCCTCGTCTCGTTTTTACGAACATCCTCAGCGGAACTACAGCGCGCCTTCGCAGCCAGGACAGGGAAGGTGTTGCTGCAGGAGTGAGGTCATCGTGAGCTAGAA